AGGTAGAATCAGCGGTAAAGGAGGCATCTGTGATAAGCCGGAGCAAGCAATGGCGCCCTCCTTCCTGTATCAAGCGGCAAGATTCGTCTGAGCGACCGCTATCGAACCGAGGAAGTGGGCTAATAGCCTGCCTAAGGGAAGCTGAAGAAAAGACCTCCCGACTACAACCGGTGTTGGCGTGAGGAGGAAGGCTACCCGCGGGAAATTCCACTGCAATAAAGCACAAGGGTGGAGTCAGAAAAATTCATAAGAAGAATGATAAGCTCATCCACGGAATAATTGGAGAGACGATTTTGAGTATCCTACACTGAAAGAACGGTATGCATCATTACGTGAATAACGTGGTAACATACACCGAACTATAAGGTGTAGGACGACACAAAATCGCCCCAATATACCGGAAGACTTGAATTGGCTAAGCAAGACAAGTCTGAAACCTTAACCCCCGCGAAGGAGGGTGTCGGTTCTTCCTTCATGACCCGCAAAGAGGTCAATCAGGGGTACAAGAAAGGATTTATATAAATTCTCACCCCCGAAGAACGAGGCCGCGGGGGAAGATGTCGCGGGAACCTCTTCCTCACTATGCTGTGAATGAGAACGACTCCTACGGGGTCGAGATCGACGCGGAGACATTGGAAATCTGCAACGAAAAGCAGCAGGTCAGGTACAATCTAAAATATGAATACACGAAATTTAAAAGGGAAATTAAGAACTTTAATTAAAATCCTATACATAAATAGGATTTCATAATTGAAGTCTAGTTAAACCTACGAATTTCGTGCATGATTGTCATCTTTCGCGGCAAATTTTGGTGAAATACCCAAAATACCCTTCGTGTTCAAGGCCAAAATTCAGGTCAAGAACACGCCCGGGTTGGGTCATGGTCATCATATCTGATCATATAGCACCCCCCGATACCCCACAATTTTGGTTAATTTTACAAATAAGGGGGAGAGGGGGTGTCTCGGCCCCAAAACCGAGACACCCTAGGGTGTCTCGGCCTTGGCCGAGACACCCCAAGGTGTCTTGGCCTTGGCCGAGACACCCCAAGGTGTCTCGGCCAAGGGCGAGACACCCCCGGGTGTTGTGGGTCCTGTTTTGTCCCCGTACGCCTGTTTTAGGCCCAAATTCGCCCGTCTCCGTCGATTATTGGATGTCTTGATGAAAATCGACACCAATCAACGTTCGACGGTTCAAAACCCTAAGGGTCAACGCCGGTCAACGCGTAACCCTAGGTCAACGCCAGTCAACGCGTTGCAACCAAAGTCAACGTTCGACGATTCAAAACCCTAAGGGTCAGCGCAGGTCAACGCGTAACCCTAGGTCAGCGCCAGTCAATGCGTTACGACAAAAGTCAACGTTCGAGGATTCAAAATCCACACAAGTCAACGTTCGACGATTCAAAACCCTAAGGGACGATTCAAAACCCTAAGGGTCAGCGCAGGTCAACGCGTAACCCTAGGTCAACGCCAGTCAATGCGTTACGACAAAAGTCAACGTTCGAGGATTCAAAATCCACACAAGTCAACGTTCAACGATTCAAAACCCTAAGGGTCAACGCCGGTCAACGCGTAACCCTAGGTCAACGCCGGTCAACGCGTTGCAACACAAGTCAACGTTCGACGATTCAAAACCCTTAGGGTCAACGCCGGTCAACGCGTAACCCTAGGTCAACGCCAGTCAACGCGTTGCAACCAAAGTCAACGTTCGACGATTCAAAACCCTAAGGGTCAGCGCAGGTCAACGCGTAACCCTAGGTCAACGTCAGTCAACGCCAGTCAACGCGTTGCGACAAAAAGTCAACACACGATGATCCAAAATCCTAAGCCAGCACAATGTGGCGGAGGTAGTTCAAAGTCAACTCAATGACACGAGCCAAACTCAATTCATCAGCTGTAAACTCGAGACTCCGACGACGGCCAAGCGATAAACGCAATGCCGAAAGAATTTCGGCTATTCGTTAAAGCATCGAATAGACCAAAAATCGAAGGAGCCAAGAGTAGAAGCTAACTAAAGGTCCTTATGCCGACTGAAGGCTAGACCAATCACATCCAAAGTATTCCAGCCTCTTCTATAAAAGAAACGAGTCCGGAACGCTTTGGAGGGGGTATCTGTAGGCATCGAAAATTGCCTATAGGTCTCCACGAACGGCAATTGACGTCGACGAACGACTGAAGTGAATCGACGAGCTACGTGAGCTGATAGGATCTCGGAACAACGAAGACCCGGATCAATCGAGAACCCGACGGTGTTCACAAAAAGGACACCGCCCTTCGTGCCTCGACCACTCTAAAGACAATCCAACCACCAGAGCGGATCGAACTCTTCGTCAAGCATCCAACGTACCTGGAATCACTCAAATCCAAGTTCGGACGAAGAATCTACGGGGAAAAGCAATTATACACCTAAAACGGAGTCCCGGCGAGTCGAAACACCCCGGGGGTGTCTAGGAAAAGCCTAGACACCCCAGGGGTGTCTCGGCCAAACCGAGACACCCCAAGGGTGTCTGCCCCCTAGAGGCTCCACACACCTATAAATAGCCCCCTTAGGGCCTTGGTTTTGGGGGAGGATTTTTGGAGACCCTTGGCGAAGCCCTGCTGCAGTGAAGAGTGTTCGTGCGCTTCAACAAGGAGAGGAGAGGTCTACATCAGAGCCTTCATCGCCTGTTCCCCCGTTTCCTTAGTATTACCCTTCGCCGGTAATCACTAAGAAAAGATGATATCTCGTTTTAGCCGAGATAGACGCTTCAGGCTTCTAGATCTCACGCGGATCGACGAAGCTCTGTCCGATTTTTCGGAAACAGATCTGATTGCCCGGTGGTCCACGGATATCAACATCCCCGTCACAGGCCAAAGACCCACGCAAGCAAGAGACCGCAAAACAGGATCTTGTGTTTATTTTCTTTTCAAATGATTTTACTTTATTTGGGACCCACTATAACCCCATCACTCCAACATATATACTCCACCTTATTTATTCATTTCTTTTTCTTATTTCATAAAACTCCGGGATTTCTGTAGATCCGCTACTGAACCGGGGTGTCGGTGGCTCAATCGACTCCGTGGTAGGGAAATTCATATGGGATGGAACATAGCTGCTTCCCGTAGCTGGATGATAACCGTAAGGAAGATAAGGGTATTGCATGCCAAAATTTGGTGGCATCATATACGGCATTTGAAAATTGGGTTGCATACCAGCATTTTGAGTATTTTTCGGGGCTTGCATATTTGGATTTTGAGGGTTGGTATTTTGAGGCTGGTTAGGAAAGTTGTAGGAGAAATTAGGATAATTTTGTGAAGGATCCATTTGAAAAAGTTTGAAGAATATAGAAGCAAAAGCAAAGAGAAGGAGAATAAGGTATCAAAAACTCAGATTTTTTTGGTGTCCAAATTACACAAGACTAATCTCTATTTATAGAGGTGAAAAAATAAAAATTATTGCTATAAAAATTATAAATTAATTCCTATTATTTATCTCCCAAAATATCATTTAAAAATTAGGAGTAAAACAAAAAACGCCAACCAATCAAGCCTTGACACATGGCTTGATACATAGGCTGATCACATTTCGCGGGACCCACATGGTCAAAAAAACCGGAGGTGAAATTTTCACCCCTCCGACTCCGATTTTCCATTTCACCCCCAAAAAACCCACCTGATTAATTCCTAGTATTTATCTCCCAAAATATCATTTAAAAATTAGGAGTAAAACAAAAAACGCCAACCAATCAAGCCTTGACACATGGCTTGATACATAGGCTGATCACATTTCGCGGGACCCACATGGTCAAAAAAACCGGAGGTGAAATTTTCACCCCTCCGACTCCGATTTTCCATTTCACCCCCAAAAAACCCACCTGCTGGAGCAAAACCCCCCCCAAAAACCACCTGCTGGAGATAGTCTTACTACAATATAAACCCCGAGAACTTTCATTGTTTCCCAGTAAACCCCAAAAACTATAGGAATTGCAGAAAATTCGCAATAAGTTTCTACCTTGTGCAGATAACCCCCATTACGGTGTGATTCCATATTTTGTGTTGGCGACATATTTTAGATCCTAAATGTGGATTACTGTCGTTATGGGTGTTATCTGCAAGATGCGAAAGCTTATTGGGGTTGTCCGCAAAATGATGAAAGTTTTTGGGGGTTTAGTATAGTTTACCTTATTTTCTTTGCAAAAAGGTGGCGAAAATGTGCCAAGAAGCTAACTATCGATTAATAAAACAGCGAGCATGATAATCAGGCTTCAAAAATTATCTGATATTCTATAACATACGTTGTGCGACTTCATGGACAAACAAAATTTTGATAGCGAAAATTGAAAAATAATTTATAAAATTTGCACGTTTGTCACAAATGATCATAAAATTAATAAATGAATTCTTTTTTCTTACAGTGGAAGGAGATAAGAATGACCTCCATTTAGTAGATTACCTGAGCAAAATTGATAAGAGGTGATCTATGATAAGAAGCTCATAAGTTCGAAACATGTCACCACCCTTATGAAGACTTCGCTACATTGTGAAAGAGGAGGGACCAATCCAAATTTCAAAAAACAAAATCCAAAATTAAGTCTGTATTCCTTAATGTAGTACACCCAGAACTTCTCTCAAATATTTTTTTCTTCCTTTGAAACAAGATATAGCATATCAACAAAAATAAACTAGTATTTGTTTACCGTTATTACTCATGAGAACACACTGAACAGAGAATCTGATCTAAGGGGGTTCTGGGGTTCTATTTATGTGACCGACAAGCCCTCAACATATTCTGAAGTTCTTGCATAGCTGTTTTCAAATTCTCAGAATTCTACCTGATTAGATGCCAAGCTCGCATCGTCACATACAATAGTAGCACATGAACGACGAAAACGCTGGATACTGATGTGAAATAGTCTTTTAGACTCTTTACACACAGAAGACGTACCAAAAAGAAAGCCTATGCTATTGCTGTAGCTTAAATTTAAATTTCAAGCAAGAGGAAGAATCATCAAACCCATATAAGCAAGATGGATATATCCATTTAACACAGTTATAGCTAGGTGTAGCATAGCATGACAATTTATTGGCATTAGCAATCATACTTCTTTCAGTTCTTTTGACTTGTGACCATTTACATACATGTACAGTGGAAGTTAGCTTTACAACAATTACAGTCGCCACGGAAGATAGGCAGACGAGCTCAGACGAGCTGACCTCTTCCTTCCTGATGCTTTAGTCCTGTGGCTATATTATGTTTTCAATATTCTGTTTTCAATATTCTAAGCGAATATGTACATGTTATCTAGGTGAAAACATAGCAGCTTGCACTAACAGTCATCAGAAGTCTGCGTTGGTTGATATCTCGGCTTTGCTGTCTTCTTCCCAAATATGGAAGACATCTCTCACCTTTTGCTTCTTTGTTTTTTCTTTTTCTTGTAGTTCTGAAGCATTTCATCTCGATCTGAAGGTGATGCAGAGAGTATCCACTTGCTAAATTCCAACACACCCATGCCCATAAACTCTGCAATATCTCTATATTCGTTACGCTTCTGTTCCCTGGAATAAGTTTTTAATTCCTTATTGACATTCATAGCATCTTGGCTCTTGTCAGTTGTCTTCACTGTATTCTTGAAAGTATCAACTTCGTGTATAGTATCTACGTCTTGTTTACCCTGAAGTCGAGGCCCGATGTTGACTACATCTTCATTACGATGTGTGTAAACTATGCCTGTGAACAGAAATTTGATTTGCTCTGGTTAATACGGACTTGAATGATCTGGAAGTTGAGGCATTAATCCAATATCACTACCGCAAAATAACTAAGGGAAATGTAGATGACACGGTGATCTGAATTTTAAATAAAAGAAGAAATTATAAATCATGAAACACAACCACCACAAACAAAGCCATTACATCAATTACATGAAATCTTTTTTCTTTTTCTTTTTTCCATTCAGCTTTACTTACAGTCCTAAGTTAAATTAACCACCATCTTTAACCACAGATACTTCACACCAAAGACAACCTACGGGAATAAAAGCATGAAAAACTGTACAAGTATTTACTTATAGAAGGTTGTAAAATAAGCATCTGCGGGTCAGAAAAAAGCTGAGTGAGAGAACTGAAAATTTTAAACCTTTTATGCAGATAATATCATGGTAAATTCAGAAGAAGAAAAGCTCATCATTGATAATTTGATATTATATAGCTATGTGTATCGTCCAAGAGTTTCAATATTACAACTCAAACAGGTTAAAGCAAAACCCGGTACCATAATTCCAAACATTGTGAAATCGCATGAGTATTAGTCCTCACATGCACGCATGCATGCAGCATCCACGTACGCACAGATGTGCCTGTGCGTGTGTGTAGGTGGGTGGGTGTATGTGTTTTGTGTGTGGGTCTTATGTGCTACAAATTTGTATTTCCCTTGGATCAGGAAATCTCCAGAAAGGATTCTATGGGTGTGTTTACCTTAGTCAGTAGTTCCTTAACATTAAACCATATGTAAGTCTGGATTATGCTTGCAAATTTATTTTCCAAGTCAAGAAAATTCCAAATTGTGAATGTTTTGTACAGATCATCCTAGACAGGATTCTGCTGCCAAATTGCATCCATTTTTGGTAGACCTTTTGTGCATGTAAATGGAAATATAAATATCCATTTATTTTAGATTAAGTCGTGAACTTGAGCCAGTAACAGCAAACATGAAGATATCAGGGCTTAGAGCGAAGAGGGAAATTGAAACTGAAACTAGAAATATTGGTATAAAGTGCATTATGCATACATCACAAGATTTTTTATTTATAGAAAGTAAATAAATGGATAACAATGTTAATGCATTTATCATGGGGTAATCAGAACCCAGAATGTCAACAAAAATAAGTTTATAATAAAACTGGGAACAGAAGATTCCCCATCAAATATTCTGTATACATTATTGTAGTAGTATAGAAGTCTAAACTTATAAGCTTACCCAAGTCACCAAGCAATGTTTCATTTCCCGCAATGACTGACTCATTTGCTTCCTTTTTAGAAGGGACATCAGAATCTTTTGAGGTGATTAGCATGGCCTGTTGAGAAGTATCCTTCTTGTGTTTTGCTGAGTCAATGATCTCACTCGTAAAAAGCTTATCGGATAGGTCACGGAATAGATTGCAGATTCCAAAGAGCTCTCCTTGAAATTCCTTGCAATCCTGTAGAAAAGTTTAAAAAGTTGCAAATAAAGAATAATATCTGAAAATAATATCTTTTAATTCTAGAAATTATGAAATTGTAAATAGTAAATATGCAATTCACCAAGAGTACCTGAACACCTTCAAAATAGCGCCTCTCCATTTTCCCTGAAACTGCAATATTGGAAAGCTGTTGCTTGTATAACTGCCGAGAATAAACAAGTTCCTCTAGGGAACCAGCTGCAAGAAGACGGAATACAACAACGTGCCGCTTTTGTCCATAACGGAAAGATCTGTCTTGTGCCTGCAAATCTTGTGCAGGGTTCCAGTTTGGGTCGAAAATTACGACACGGTTTGCACTGACCAAATTAAGACCTAAACCACCAGCTCGAGTAGATATCAGGAACACCTATGATAAATGTCACTGAATAGATCAGTAGAGTGAATGAATATTAAAAAAACATAAATCTTTCAGAAGGTCACCTGTTTGCTAGGACTTTTGTTGAAATCATCAACAAGTGATTGGCGCAAGGTCATTGGGGTTGAACCATCCAGTCTTGAAAAGCAACAACCCTTTCGTATAAGAAACTTCTCCAGTATATCTAGCATCCTGTTCAGGAAAGATAAACTAAGCAACTAAAATCATGGATTAGAGATAAAGATACTAAGAACTGAACAGTGCAAGTAACAATTACAGGTTGTTCAAACTAAAAATGAAAAAATATTTTATAGAAGAGGGATTAAGGATGCAGAGGCAATATTAAAATCAGATTTCTAGGATGAAGGAACTCGTTAGTTAATATTTGAATATCTTGGTAATAAGGAGAGGTTTACTGTAGATTAACTTGCATAGTGCCACCTACGCATTTTATACTTTATAGTGGTTAAAAGGAGGTGGCTTTTAACCAGAAGCCATGAGACTGGATATTAATGGAAAGTGCCAACCTATTCATGTATGTAGACCACTAAACCCAAAATATTTTAGCCAACTCTCATAATAATTTTTAGGTCTTAAACACTATACACCATTAAGCCGTGACTTATAACCCGAACAAAAAAAAATAACCAAAATAATTTTTTAAAAAGGACTGAAAAATCTATGCACAAGAGAAGGCATTAGAAAAAAAGAAATGAATCAGGATGAATTATTTCCAACTTCATTCAGTAACTGGAATTCGCCCGAATAATATGAAAGTTTATGGAAAAGATAGGTCAGAAATGAAAGAGACTCGTGGGCAGCACTATAAGTCGTGAAGCATCACCTGACAGAGTAGCTAAACAGAAGAATTTTGTCACCATGAGTAGTCCATGACAAGAGTAACTTCTCTAGAGCTCGCATTTTCCCACAGTGTTCCACATCACTAAGTCCCATAAAGCTTTCATTTTGACAAGCACCACCAACCAAGCCTACATCAGCACCAAAAATAGCAGCGGCAAGCTCAGCATCCTTCCTTTGTTTCTCAGGTTCATCCTTAGGGTTTGGTTTTATCAATTCGAGATGATTGCTTATCTATGATAATCAAATTGAGGGTTAATATTTAATCAATTTGTTAATAATGAAAATGTAAAAAAGAAGTATTAGATCAAAATACCTGCTGAAGCTTGATGAGGCATGGAAGTACAAGGCAGAAAGGACAAGAATCACAACCATCAGAGTTGCCTCGGTGAAGATAAGACCAAATGATGCCATTGGGGACTGTCCTTTTGCAACAGTCAACTTGTGATAATGGGCTGCCACAGCTACAAGGCAGATCCTTATTTATAAGGCATTGAACATCAGGTTGTCCCAACATTCTCTTGTATACACGCTTTTGCACCTCACTCATTGCACAAAAAACAACATTATCTTCTTTGCCCAACATAAGGTGCCCAATTGTCTCCTCTTTGGTCCTTCTTAACAGGTACTTGCGCAAAACCGCAACTAGATGTTCCTTACGCTCCTCAGCAATACGACTAAATCTTTCAGGAGCACTTAGTCTTTGCCCATGCTTTAATGGCTCATCATAAAAATCTCGAAAATGTTCCCTACTTCCTAGTGACCCAGGAGCAACCCAATCAAAGAGATTAAATAATTCTGAAATCTTGTTCTGCAAAATTGTGCCAGTAAGACCAAAACGCTTTCTGGTTTTAATTCCTAAGCATGCTTTATAAAGTTGAGATTTCTCATTTTTCAGCCGGTGAGCTTCATCAACAACCACAATGTGCCATGAAATCTCAGACAAAATTTTATCTTGAATTCTATAAGTATCAAAACTAGTTAAAAGAATCTCTACACCACGAGCTCCAAGTTTTTCAAGAATTATATCACGATTTGGCCCATGATAGGCAGCAACATTAAAGTCAGACCATACAGAAAACTCGTTTTCCCAGTTGCTAATAACCGAAGTGGGGCAAATAATCAGTATGGGGCCTTTCTTCATCGCATGGTCCTTGTCCCCACAAAATTCTTCACTTTCAGAATCTTTTCCCATAACAGCAGCCAGAAAAGCAATAGTCTGGATGGTTTTCCCGAGCCCCCTAATTTACAGTAACATGAAAATACAAAATCTCTATATATAACCATATTTAATTAAAACCACATATAAAAATAACACAGGAATGCTGAAGTTTCAAAACATTCATGAATGAACATTGTGGTGATACCTACAAATTGTTTGAAGTAAATCAAGCAACCAGAATCCTTTTATTACCAGTACATGTATAAGTAAAAGAGGGACAATTCAATGTGTTAATACAATGTCCATAAAAAGACTAAAAAGACGAAATCCATGCTTTTCAGGCTTCAGGCACAAAAGAGCCAAAATGAGTTTATCAGGCTCAGGAGACATAAAATCAATGCGAACCCAGGAACTGCCTACGGAACATTTCCACTTCTTTATGCAGATGGCTTGCAGCGGCTGTATAGATAACTTTTTAATTGGTAGTTTGTAGATAATCCAAGAAAACTGACTTGGTTGGGTTGTAAATTGGTAGCAATGGTGACGGAGTGTGGTGTAGTGGGGATGGGTTGGGTGTGGGGGGGTGGAAGATGCAAGAATGGTTACTGCTTGCAATTAGCCAGCTAGCTGAGGAGAATTTGGGTACTTGTTGCTTGGTTGCAGGATCCGCATACTTAAAGAACATAAGGAATATAAACGAACGTAGGTCTATATACCTGCCAAACAGCCATCAAGACTCTTTGATCATAGCCATCCTGGCTAGGATTTGGGACCAAGTCAAAGGTGTGATATCAGGATTGCAAAAACTTGGCCTCAGAGATTTCTCAACTCACAACCATGCTACATGAACCTCAAATTTAACGCAAAATGATGGTGACAGTACTTTCATTTCGTACTAGAGTGATTGGATTCCAACAGAATAATGGCCTAGATGCACTTTTATTTATCACTTCCGCGAAGTAGATAGGCGTCAGTGTGCAGGTAATTGGTGTTCTATAAAAGTATGCCTAGCCACCCATAATCATATATATATAAAAAATGTTATGCAGATGCTATAAATTCATGTACTTACAGTACCAGTACGAAACATTAAAATTGCTCTTGTTAGTAAGAGATCATTCTTCATAATGATCCCATTGTGTATATCTCTCTAGCAGTTCCTCATCATAGTTGTCATCACAGATGACCAGGAAAAGATGTGGTGATCATGTCATCACACGAGACAAGTAACAAAAACCCAATGGAGGACATTGGACGGATGATACACATATAAACCTATGACGATAACAGTGAACTTACATATCGTCTCCAAGCACACCACCATGGTTGTTCTTATACAGCCTATAAAGAAACTTCACACCATCTCTTTGATGCTCAAGGAGCCTACAGTTGATGGATGCAGGAACCTACAAGAGGCGTAGATCTCATAAGTGAACATAGTATTGATAGGTATAAAGCATATAAGGGAACTAAATGCTTAAGTAGATAAGTAGAGTATAACCAAAGCATATCACGTGAAATAACAACACAACGATACGTCATTTTGTGTGATAATAATTATGACAAAGATAGTGCACTGATCAACATTTACCAAATTTTGCTTCGACATGAGAACACAGCTAAAGGTAGGATAGTCAAATAAGATGTCTGTCTAATGCGAAGTTCTTAAAATCCAGAACAACCAGGTTTGGCAAATCAGGTCCATAAATCACTCTAAATAGATTTAAAAAACTACGATTCTGAAAGTGAGTTACAGTAACAACAGATGGCATTTTGTTCTAACATTTTAGCACCTTGAGCAGCAAGAGGCAGGAACGGAGCTAGAGTAATCAAGGACTCTGAGGTAGGACAAATGCCCTAACTTATACTTGGTTGTCCGTTGTGAGTACCTATTTTTTGTCTTTGCATCAAATTTGAAGTTTTTGGTCCGTTTAATGTGACTTCATGTATTAATAAAATTCAATATACGTTTATGTTCTTTACCAGTTTTAGTGATTAGTTTATTTTTAAATGAAAAAATTATAATTCTGCTTTTTTGTACTATTTTTTATTATGGAATTTTAATATACTATTCTATTTGTGCCTTACCCAGCTGAAAAGTCTGGCTCCTCCCTTGGTGAGAGGGCAGGAGTCTTTTCTTAGATACCAGTGCAGAGTTTATTATAATTTATAACCAAAATTATTTTCCTATCTATCTGGTGTCATCTTCAAGACCAAAATGTAATCTACCAAATTGAAACTTTATGTCCACTATTCTTCATAAGAGACATGTTGGGGTGGTCTATTTCAGCCCATTTATTTTCACCGCAGACTTCAATCTGCACTCTGTTACTCAACCGAAAAAGGCAAGATAAGGAATCTCTTGGAGTTGAAACAAGTGGCTAACCAATAATATTTTTTGCACCAAGTTCAGATAATTCGAAACCTAGAGTTTTGAAGGTTCGAATGAAGACAAATAAGGTTCCTTGTATGATAACTGCCACCCTAGGTTTTGAGTATCCTGCTTAACTAGAGGTATTTTAGTATCCTGCTTAACTAGAGGTATTTTAGCCGCAGCAAGAGTTTCCTATATAAATAAGTACAAAGAATATTTGACATGAAACATAGAGAAAGACCACGGAGTGTGCTTCAAGGAATAATAACTTGAGAATGTGGGTTTGTCAATGAACCAGAGAGACGAACATTTTTTCTTTACACAAAGTCCGATCACAGGAAATTGAAGTTAAAATCTAAATACTACAGTGAGAAGAGTCCAACATGAGAAAATCAAGACGAAAACATGAGGCAGAAAGGCGGAATGCCAACATGGAACTCTTGCTCTGTGCTTGCCAGATAAGGTCAAGCATTCTTCTGGTTCCGTGTAAATAATAGACTTTGCTAGAAAAGGCCCGCATCAGCGAGTTTAAAACTACCTTATTGGATGCCATGGGTGTTAATGCAACAAAACAATCATCCTAGGTATTCTTCACATAATACATCACAGGTTTGTTTTAGTCTAATTTGGAACCTATTAATGTTACGTGAAAAAAGTGGATAGCTCCAAAGACGAACACTTGGCATTCAATTACAACTTGTTCTGATAAGAATGGTGAGATTTCTGATTACAATACGTATGAGTAAGCTTCTGGCCTAGTCCAACCTTTGTCAAGATACATAACCATATATTCTGGTCAATATAAATTCTGGCTTGGGAATTAGAAGACAGCTAAGAAGAAAGTGTTTGTGGAGGATAGACCATGAGTAGTAGCAGATAGGAGGTTGAGGGCTCAAGCGATAAGGAAGTTGCCGTGGAGGATATTGGGATCAATCAGGTTTTTGTGTACATCTAAGGGTGAAATCTTTAAAGGAGATAAACTACACAACAGTATAGTATCTCAGTAGAGGCCTTATTTCATTATGGTTTACAAAACACGTCTTATAGTAGTGTAGAAGTTTGATGGAGGGCTTTACTTCTGGGACTTTCGCACATAACCTCCTAATTATGAATTAAAAAAGTGTTTTTTTAATAGCTAAAAACTCGCTCTGAGTTCGCATCCTTGTTCTCTAGGTAAGCAAGTGGTCGTACACGCTAATTATATGTGCAAGTGATATAAACATCTATATTTATGATATCAACATTAAAATAACAATAAACCTGTTCAGGAGTACTTTTGGATTTAGGAACATACCTAGTCATGGATCCGCATTTATAAAGACATGCATAGGGCCGGTATCTTAAAAGCATTATTGCTTTGACCACATAAGAAAGATTATTAAAGAATTTTACAATTTTCGAACTACTGAGCAAACTCCACATTCAAAAACTACGCTTCGGCGACTTTCGGAAAATCTGTTGGATATTTTATTATAAAAAGGCAATTTTGCCTTCATGAATAATAATAAACATTGTAATAATAATAATAAATATTGTAATTAAAACATGTAATTAAAACTTTGGTAACGGTTATGCAATTATGACTAACGTTACCGAATTTATTGAGGGGTTTTGTAACGGTTTATTTAGACAACTTCCTTCATCTGAGCTAAAGCTCTGCACTCTCGCCCGAGTGCAGAGGCCGGTCGTTTCCGGGGGCTTTTACCGCTAGGGGGGAGGGCAGAGGCCGGTCGTTTCCGGGGGCTTTTACCGCTAGGGGGGAGGGAACCATCTGCGCCAGGGCGATAGGTGGGTTCTCAATCTTCTAGATTGTTGGAAATTTATCTAATAATTAAGATTATAGCATGCAGATAAATCCGAAAAAATAAATAAGAGATTAGAAATTCAGGCCTGACGGGAGCAGTCGTGTATTCACTGCTCTAGAAGATTGATAATGTAGCTATTATTATTTTTTAAATCCGAAAATGTTTCTACATGTATTGATGCATGCTAATTAAATAGATCTACTGCAATATACTTCTTGCAAGGAACATAATTTTGTAGTCAAGTAGTTTGATAAACATACTTATGCATCTGATCACATATTAAGGCTACGTGTTCTTGCTTCTTTGTCTGCTTCCCTCTTGTGTCTTGTGGCTTGTGCATATGATGGCAAGAGACTCCATCATTAATTTGTTAATTAGAATTATATCATCAACTTTGATCCAAAAGCAATTTACATCATGCACTCTCTCACAAACTTTATGCTTGCATACATAAAGATATGGAAAGGAAGGATAAGGCCTTTAAAAAAAATTCGTTATTGTTTAAAAAAAAAGCTGTTGTTCATTGGATAAACAATTACTGTTCATTAAAGAGAAAAAGAAAATATTCTCTTCTCTGGAAATTACAATTTGTTACTGTTCATTCGAGATGATTACTGTTCATCCAAGAATTTTTAACTGTTAATTATTGATTAGTTAATTATTACATTTATTACATTTTATTAATTGTTGTTAATTAAGTTGTAATAATTTTTACTAATTAATTCTAACAGTTACTTAAAATTAATTGTAAGTAATTGTTTTAATTGCTTTTATTGCTGTTTTAAGATGTTGCAAGTGGGCTCTTTGCCTTCCAGTACCTCACGAGTCTGAAGTTCAAGCTCTTCCACAAATTAAATCTTTTTCGGCCTTACTGTTCTAAGCTTGTTGGGGCGGGCCGGAGTCGTTCTGACAGACCCCACAAAATAATTTTTTACTCTCACGACATGTAAATAATGAGGTTCGAACATCAATAGGTAAATCCCTCCTCGGTCTTATCCAACATATGTTTGCAATATAATTGCTAGGCAATTTAAATGATTGCATGAAATAATTTAAAGTTTCTATATACTGTTAAGGAACAAAAACTCATTGAGTGAAACGATTCAAGTTTTCTTGGATTAGTTGGTGTCTAAGGCAAGGTTTAAGGGTTGCGTAACGCGCTCTGCAAGGAACGAGGTACTTAATTGATCTTTGATCAACCTTTATTACTATCCTTACCTGGCTAACTACCCAGGTAAAACTTTAATCTTTTCACTTTAGGAGTTTTTGGTTACCTGGCTAACTACCCAGGTAAAACTTTAATCTTTTCACTTTAGGAGTTTTTGGTTTGGAATAAGAGGATTGGAATTATGTGGAAATTCATATGCATTTATTTAATTACGTTTCTTGCATCATATATTGCCTAATGATAAATGATCAATATATGAGCGAACCAAATCAAAAAGGTGCATCTTTTAAAATTCTATTTTATATGATGGATTATATTTCAAATCTTCAAATGTAAAGTTCATCACTTTTATTGCATTTTGATGAATATTGCAATAAATGTTCATATGTCTTTTTAGATAACTTGCATTTGTTACATGATTAATTACAAGGTTTTATGCAAGAATGCACTTGAAAAATTTAAAGCACGTATGTACAAATATTATTATTATTATAATATTATTATTTGTATAAGAGGTGGTACTAGAAAATAGTAACATAAATTTGGAAGGTCTCTTTTGTAGACAACCAATTTAAATTTGGAAAGTCTCATTTGTAGGCAACCGATTTAAATTTGGACGGTCTCCTTTGTAGGCAACCAATTTATAACCTCTTATAATAGAAGAATTTTTAAAATTTTATGCATATGAATTATGAAGTATGAAATATATTGCTCTTTTGAATACTCTGTATGTATCTATTATTAATTTCATTCATGTATGTGCATATGCATAACTGCAGAATTTTTAGTTCCACATTAGTTTGAAATGTTCAGATATTAAGGTCAATCTGCACAAACACTATGTGTTTACATCTTTAGACATAGACTATGATCTTTTAGTAAATAAAAAACATAACAGACATATTCAAATAAGATATAAGTCTGTACAACGCCTGTTAGGCAAAGTTGTGATCTTGGACTTTGTAAAGTCTGAGAAAAATCTTGCTGACCCTTTGACTAAGGGATTATCCAGGAGTGTGGTTCTGGATTCATCGAGGGAGATGGGGTTAAGCCCATAAATGAGGTCACTGACAGCGGCAACTCAACCCTTATTTGAAAACGTAGTCCCAATGTCGGTTCAATGTGGTAGAAACAAGCTGGACAAGTGACTCTCGTGTGGAGCATCGACCTAGATATATTTATATATCATTATGTAGCATTTGCTACTACCCCTTCTTTATGATGACGTTGCTCTTATGATACAGCTGGCTAGGCTGAGTTTTACTCTTAATAAGTCCAACGTGTGTATTGTGGGGGGTATTAAATAAACAGTTGTAGTACCCTTTGAGGACTTACCTACGTGAGAGGAACCGTGATGGCCGCGGTTAGGGGGGCTGGACTAACTCTTAGAAACTCTCATGAGTCGGTTTATTATGAGCATGGCATTTAACGCTCAACCCGCTTTGCTCAATAGATGAAACGTATTGTGTGTGTTTTCATCAATACCTGATTAAAGAGGCCTAATTCAAGGCCTAGTCCATTATGTCCCTCAGGTGGCGATGAACTCACTAAGAAAATGTTCAAAGCCGAAAGCTACCTCTCCCGAATTCAAGATACGAAAGGTTGCCCAACCTATATTTGTTTTATGATTTTGTGATTTGTTTTTTTTTTTTGAGTTTTCAGTCAATATTGCCTTTTGGGGGGGACTGTTGGATATTTTATTATAAAAAGGCAATTTTGCCTTCATGAATAATAATAAACATTGTAATAATAATAATAAATATTGTAATTAAAACATGTAATTAAAACTTTGGTAACGGTTATGCAATTATGGCTAACGTTACCGAATTTATTGAGGGGTTTTGTAACGGTTTATTTGGACAACTTCCTTCATCTGAGCTGAAGCTCTGCACTCTCGCCCGAGTGCAGAGGCCGATCGTTTCCGGGGGCTTTTACCGCTAGGGGGGAGGGAACCATCTGCGTCAGGGCGATAGGCGGGTTCTCAATCTTCTAGGGCAGTGAATACACGACTGCTCCCGTCAGGCCTGAATTTCTAATTTCTTATTTATTTTTTCGGATTTATCTGCATGCTATAATCTTAATTATTTGATAAATTTCCAACAAAATCTAATGCAATAAATGACAATGATGAAGAGATCACCTGAACCGTTGGAGATTCCCCGGGCGAAGAGAGGACTAGGGGCTCAAAAGGCCCTTTGGTACCCAAATCGAAGGACTGAGTGCTGAGCTTCTCGCGACTGAACTCGCTGACGATTGAAAACCCGTTGCTTTTCTCGTCTCCATCTTTTCCTTCCTCTTTCTCCTCTTCTTCTGTGACAATTGGAAGAGTTTTGTTAGGGTTTTGGGAGCGGATTTCATCGAAAGAGGGGAAATCGAGGCGCTTAAGCTGCTGAGAGAGTGAAGACTTTGGGGGTTTTCTTGAGAAATTAGGGTTTTGAGAGGATAAGAATTCAAAATTGGAAGAAGTGTTGGAGGAGGAGATAGAGGACTGAGAGCAGGGTTTGAGAGATTCTTTGAAGCTGTTCAACGACATTTTGAGAAGGCGGTTTAATTTTTTTGGTTTTGTCGGGCATTAAATAGAGAACTGGGGAAAGCGGGAGAAGAGAAGAAATTGACAAAGAAAATGAAGATTTATTATTTTCTAATTTATTTATTTAAACTTTTTTTTAAATGAGAAAACGCTGACTATTTTAAGGGGTGTTTGGTTCAATTTCTATAAATTATAGGAAATGTTTTTCACTTAAAATATAATTTTTGTATTTCTTAAAAAATTTATAGGAAAAGTTTTGAGAAGTCAAAAAGTACCAATTTTTTTTAGTTTGTTTGTTTGGTTCGAAACAAGAAAATGACCCATAATTTTATAGAAAATAGCAAGATTTTTTATAATTTGTAGAAATTAAACCAAAAACCCCCTAAATTTATAGAAAAGTGTCAATGTGGTGTCAGATTTCTGGGTGATTTCTGTCCATTTTAAGAGAAATTTGATTTCTGTAAATTTTGGTAATTTTTTGTACTTTAGAGAAAACATTTCTAAAATTTTTTTGAACAAAACATAGTTTACAGAAATCTACAGAAAAATTTTAATTACAGAATTGTCATTGTCAGACATTTTGAGAAAACTTTTCTATAAAATTGTGCAACCAAACACCCCCTAAAACAACAAGAGAAAATGCCACGTGCTAAAATAAAGGACAAATTTTTAAAAGAGCCATATTTGCAAACTTATTCCCCAAAAACGACCCCTTTCAACTTTATTTGTCAAAACCGACCTGGTTTCAGCCTCAGGGCTGAAACCTGAGGCTGAAACCATGTCGATTTTGGTGAAAATGCATTTTTTCATAAGATTCAAGTCTTTATTTTTAGGCACATATGCACTTTTAGAAGTAGAACATAAATAGTTATTTATAAAAGAAGCAGTATCATTTTGTATGTTCTTTACTGCTAACATGGCATTATCTTTAGCATGAGTTAACTTGGCAAAGTTTGAAAGCAAAGAATCATGATCCGATTTTAATTTTTCATTGTTTTCTATAAGGATCATATTTTCATTAGAAATAATATCAAACTTAGAAGTTAAAGACTCATGATCGGATTTCAAATTAACATGCTTGCTTTGTAAATTAATGAAATCATTTTTAATTTGTTAAAGGCATGTAATAATTTTTCACTGGCACAAGCAAGTTCATCATTAGGTAAATCATTAATAGATTCAAACTCGCAAACCTCACTAGGGCTATCGCCTAGTGCTCGTGTGCATGAAGCTCCTTTAGAACTTGAAGCGGGATCCTCCAAAGCTTGTCGGATCGCCTCCAAGTCTCCTTGATGCGCTTCTATGAATTTTCATAATGTATAAGCGCTATCAAAAGAATCAAGTTTGTTAGACATAAATGAATTAAATGTATTTAATAAAAATTCTAACATAAGCTTGTTCATAATAAACATCTTTTTATCATGTTTGCTCCACTTGGATTTCTCCAACGTGGGCACAATATAAGCACAATCAATGATTTCCCATAAATCGATATTTTTAGATTGAACAAATAATTTAAATCTAAAACATCATTGAGCATAAGGGAAAACATTAAATTTAGGAGCAACACTAGAATCATAGCCTAAACAAGATGCATCATTCATATCCATAATTTGTAAAAAATATGCAAGCACGATACAAATGCAATCAAAACAAGATTAGCACAAAAATATAACTTAGATCTTTAACTCAAGGCGATTAGACCTTAAATCAAAGAGCACCAAGCTCTAATACCAATTGTTAGACCCTAGAGGGGGGTGATTAGGGTCTTATGCTAATCTAATCCGATTATATGCCAATAAAAACCAATTAACAAGTTATCTTAGCAAGTATGAAATATAACAACTATATAAGCTAGGATAAGCAATATGAACAATGAGATATATCCTATATGATGAATATATATATGCAAGGATATATAAACTAACACAAGATGATATATCCTATCAAAAAGATATACAATATGATATATGTATATACAAGGATATAAAACTAACACAATGGGTAAACAATATGAACTAGATAGTGGATCCACCCAACTATACTATGTATGAAAGATACAATAAGCTCAATGTGGGTGTGTGTAACAATGAGATATAAATGAAAACTTAACTCAATAAGAACTAGCAATAAGATTGATATGAAATACAATAGTAGAAATGCTAGGAAATAGAGTTAAGGAAACTTCTCTAAAAACACAAAGAGAGGATGATGAAATGTTGAAGATGAACTCTTCAATAGTTGATGTAAACTCCTCTTTGTAACAGCAAACCCCAAACAAACTTAAACCAAAACTAAACAAGCTTAAACCCTTGTTTAAAACATTGTTTTAAAAACTTCTTGGATAATTTGAAAGAGAACAGCAATACGGTATTTATACCCACTCTAAATCTCAGTCAAAACCCCAAGCCAAATGACAAAAACAGCCCCAGCAACGGTAACAAAACTAGTCGTTGGAAACAGAAATGATTGAGCAGCGGTCGACCGGAAATTCTCGCGGTCGACCGCGATCTAGGACCGATGGAAAATCCCCCCCCCCGGTCGCCCGACAGACTCTCTGCTGCCCACTGACGAATAAACACTTGAGCGGTCGATCGGTGCGATCGACCGAAATCTGATACTACAGAAAACAGTTTTTAAAACCTGATTTTTGAGACTTTGGAAAATTGATAATAATAACAAATGAAGTCCAAAAATAATAAAACTTTGGGAAATATATATAAACATGTAAATGAACATGTTACAAAAAGAATTTTCCAAATTGCATTTCCCATTTGTAAAAAATCATCATTTTGTAAAATAGTTCAAAACACAAAAATGTAAACATGTGAATTTTGATATTTTGGCTAAACCATATTTTGAAACTTTGCACAATGATTATATAGACTTAATAAAATGTGTACATGATTATTGTTAAGTCCATAAATTGAGAAAACAATATTTTCATAAAATTGCATATTCTATGCAATATATACTAAAACACAATAATGAATATGAAATACTAGACAAACAACATTAGTGGTAAATTGTTTGTTAAACATCATCAAAACAAGAAGGCCAACAAATGTGAGAGGTGATAATTTCGAGCACTTGAGGGTGTCGATACGTGAGGACCAACACTTGAGATTGTAGCTTGTGTATGTACTTTGTGAGGATTTGTGAGAGTTATCGGTTGACTTGATAACCGAGTGTGTAGAGTTTTCGGTTAGCTAGAAAACCGAGTGTGTAGAGAAGTTCCGACTTCCAAACCAGGTTGTGTAGTGGATTCTCCCCGGGAGTGGGGAACGGAGACGTAAGACGGAAGGTCCGAACTCCGTGATCATTTCCTTGTGTTTGGGTTTGGCATTGGCGCATTTATTCTTGCATATTGTTATATCGTCATTGTTGCATGATCATATTGTTTACCATTGTTTATATTGTATATCATTGCACATATCTTGTAGCATATCATACTTGCTAGTATATATTTGTTAATTAGTTTTAATTAGCATAAAATCGGATTAGATTAGCATAAGACACTATCCCCCCCCTCCCCCTCTAGGGTTCTTTCCTAGTGGCATTAGGGTCTAACAAAGGTAAAATCTTTTAAAAAAAGTAATTCAATTTTTTTGTATATTCTCACAATTTCTTGGTGATTACTTGTAAAAATTTAGATTTTTAAACTGTGAAAATTCAGCTCAAACTTCACGAGACTTCAAGTCCCGTGAAGTTTTTTTTACCTTTGAAACATCACGGGACTTGAGGTCCCGTAAAGTTTTTTGAACTTTGAAACTTCACGGGACTTAAGTCCCGTGAAGTTTAGCAGCTTAACAAAATGACTGCTAAAACTTCACGAGACTTGAAGTCCCGTGAATAGGGGTGGACAAAAACCGAAAAAACCGGTTCAACCGAAAAAACCGCCCGAAAAAACAGACCGGTTAACCGAACCGAATTAAATGGATGAGAAGAAGTCTCTAAACCGCCCGAACCGAATTAAATCGGTTTGGATCTGGTTTGAACCCCTGAACCGCCCAAAAAAAAACCCGACCTGAATTCTGTTGGGCGGTTTAGAGACTAAACTTATACCTCAAAACTTTTCCTGTTATCATCCAATAGATTCAAACGGCGCAAGAAGCAGTTTCAAGCAATGAGTACAGCAATATCAAAGAAAAATATCCTTGAGAACTAAGTAAAGATTCAAATCAATCCAGAAAATTTTTTATGCACATGATGCACTTACAAAAGATGCATATGCTACATTATATGAACAATATCATACAAAACATCACTCCCCCGTGTAATTAAATAAACTTAAACTTTAGTTAAAAAAATTCGCAGAAAAGATCTTGAGAATTACATAAGATTCAAATCAATCACAAAATGTGTTATGTACATGATACTTACAAGAGATAAGCATGATGTATTATATGAACAACATCTTTAAAACACCAGTTCTCTGCGTAATTATATCAACTCAAAACTTTATTCTAAAGATGATAACCAGTCTAATAAAGCTTTGTTGGCGAGCTCAGGATCCTCATCATGAGGACAAGCCCAGCTTGCAAATTCACAACAGAAGTCTTTGGATAGAACTCTTTACAAATTCAAAACCGAAACCGAACCGAACCGAACCGAATTTCGGTTGTGCCGAATATTCGGATGAAGGGGAAAAAATCTGGATCTGGATGAGAGTTTTGAGAATCCGGAAAATTCGGATTGGATGCGGATTGGGCATAAAACCAAACCGAACCGAATATGCCCAGCCCTACCCGTGAAGTTTGGAAACTTTTTTCGCCAAAACCAACTTGGTTTCAGTGCTGGGACTGAAACCAGATCGGTTTTGATAAATAAAGTTGAAAGGGATCGTTTTGAAGGAATAAGTTTGCAAATAGGGCTCTTTTGAAATTTTATGCTAAAATAAATTGTGGCGAAATAAAAGAAGAGCTCAAATACTTTAGAAATAACATCTAAGAGAACCAAAATACACAAACTAGATCTCCATCTCCATCTCGAACTCAGAGTCTTTGTCATTGAAATGTCTGGAATCTTTAAAAATCTCATAATCCCTTATCAATGGATGAACATATCTCTCGTGTCTTTTTCAACAACTCTCGAAATGTTAAAACATCAAATTATGAATTTAGCAATGCATCTCTAATATACTTGAATTGAATATTCTATCATTCCGTTCATCCCAAAAAATTCAAAGAAATAGCAGCACAAATAATATAGCACAAACTCTTTGACTCAACGTGCGCGTGAACACACTACCGTGAAGACCAAACATTCATGTAAGATGGGGGGAAATGTTGTCTCTACTAATATGCCCAAAAGGCCTCTATATTTCCCTACTGAAATGACAGAAAAACATGAAACGGTCAAGAAATTTCTCCTCTTGTCTGCAAAGAGGGCAATGACAAATTTTGAAAACCGTCCTATTTAAAAAAATTTGACAAAACCGATCTGATTTAAACGATCTGATTTAAAAAAAATTGTCAAAACCGACCTAGTTTCAGCTGTCTGACTGAAACTGGGTCGGTTTTGACAAATAAAAGTCTGAAACTTCACGGGACTTGAAGTCCCGTGAAGTTTAGCAGCCGTTTAATTAAGCTGTGTGAAGTCCCGTGAAGTTCTTTTACTCATGAGACTTCCAAATGGCTCATTTTACTTAATGAAAGACTCGTTTTCTACTAAAGAATTTCACAGGACTTGAAGTCACGTGAAAGATTTGTCGCCCTTAATTAATTTCATTATAGACGGCTAAACTTCACGGGACTTCAAGTCCTGTGAAGTTTCAGATTGTTTTTTCTTAAAACCGACCTAGTTTTAGCCTGACGGCTGAAACTAGATCGGTTTTGATAATTTTTTTTAGAATAAGTCGGTTTTGACAATTTTTTTTTTGTAAATATGACAGTTTTTAAAATTTGTCCAATGGGACAAGCATTCAAACCTTGCAGTTATGCCTTCTCAGGTTACCCAAGTAAGAATTGCATTCTTCGTAGCTAACCAGATGAATGCTCTAACTTTAAAAGGGACCTTAATGCTCTATATCGACTTTGCCATGGGACAATGAAGTCCTCCATTATTTATAAATTGATGTGTTACTGCAACAAAAACGATGTCTATTTATGAGAAGTGAAGGCTTGGACTCGTTCTACGGGTTAATGACATTGATATACAAGCTGACAACAACTCGACTTACTAAAGAACGCAGAACAAGAGATGTTTCATCCGTCTTGCCATCAAAAAGCAACAACTGATCCTATCTGATTATTACTAGCTAGCAACGTACAATGGCGAGAATCTAATGACCGAAAGAGTGGATACACACCAATGACACCATTCATCCAATCGAAAGCTAGTTTTAAAACCATCTCCAATATTAGATATTCAAGCTGAATGGAATCAAAATGTTTCACTTTAATCAAATCTTTTTATTAAAACGGGAATAAGAAATTAGCATTTCTCACGTCATCCCTGCTCAATCCTCGTTTTTGAAAGGTCACTTTAAGATTTGGACTGGATCCCAGACCCGGACCGGACACCAAACCGAAGCCAAACGACGAGCCTTAACTGGCGCCCCCGCCCAGTTTCACCTGACCGCTTGACTCATCACCCCCCTCCAGCAAGACCAAACTTTAAAAAAAAAAGGAAGGAGAAAAGAAAAGCAAAGCAAAGCATTGAAGCGGTCTTATGGTTTTTTTTTTTTTTTTAAGAAAAGCATCCACCAAAATAATGAATGAGTTATTAATTCTGTATTAGACCCTCAAATCTTCATATTTATAAATTAGATCCCAAATCTGGACATTTGTTCGAAATTGGGGTTTATTTAAGAAACTCAATACGCTTGCGGGGGGTGCAACGGGCGTTATTTTACAGCAGCATAATTGGCTTGGGTCTTGTTTAGAAATATAAAGATTAGGTGGTGAAATACAGTGTTGACAAAGACGCCAGTCTAAAATGAAAAAAACCTATAATAAAAAATGGCAAGGGATATTTCCATATGAGTCCCTCACATCTTTCGTATCCCGAGACTAGTCCCACAGATTGTTGAAATTGCCATAAGGTGCTCTAAATTATACAAGATGCTTGAAATTAGCCCATCCTTCATAAAATCCACTCAATCTATCAATTATGATTCAGTTAGTGGCTAATTCTGAATGCTAAATGCCAAAACATCCTCATTAAATAAATACCTCTTGCCCGCCAAGTGTCCGTTTTCCCTATTAATCTGTAACTCCTGCTTCATCACGTCGCTTCTAGAATCAACACCAAAACCCTTCTCTCACCTCGGATTGAGTTGTACAAGAAAATGTACACCTAACATTCCATCCCAAAAAATCTTAAAATAGAAGGAATATTCTCCGTAGGTTCAAATGGGTACTAACTAGCAACTAATTTCAAGCAAGTCGTACCTTCCATGAAATCTAATAGCAATTTCAATGATTTGGAGGACCTAACATCAATTACAATGACCAGGGTATCTAAAAGCAAATTTTCATTTTCTGAGACTAGTCCCGGAATACAAAAGATATACGGGACTAATGTAGAAATAATCCCAAACGCGAGTGTAGGGGAAAGCAACAGGAACCGAGCACTAAAATAACCAAAGAAAGAGAGAGAAGCCAACAGAAGAGGGGGAAGGAAGAAAGAGGCGCAAGAGGAACAGCTGGTGCCTCTGGCTGCATGTGCTTTCGTCGCCCCCTCCCCTCCCCTCCGCCTCAACGTGAGCGATCGACAAATCCGCTCCGTCCCTCAACATCTCGCAAACCCCCTCCAACAAATAAACAAGAATCACCAACCAACAAAATGCCCGCTCAGAAGCGGTCCCTCACGACGACGAGCCATCGCCGCCTCAGCCTCCTCCTTTCTCCTCCGCCGTCCACCGCCGCTAAGGAGGAGGAGGACGACGAAGGGGAGCAGAAGCAGCAGTCGCCGCCGCCGCCGAATCAGCAGCAGCCGAGGCTGCGAAGCAAGAAGAAGGTAAGGTTCTCTTCGATGCCTACGGTCTCGAGTTGTTGAGGACTCACAGGTTTGATTTCGTCGTCCAGATTCGGACGAGGAGGAGGATGGAGGCAGCGGAACCGAGAAAGATGAGTACGTCCCCTTGTTCTTTCACTTTCTGGATTGCTTTGTTGTTGTGTTCTGGATTTGTTACTTGTTGATCGCGTCGAGTCTTATGCACGAGCTGGACCCGATCTCGTCGGCGGCGGCAAGATGCGTTCGTTGGTTTGTGTGTGGTGATCCGTGGGCACAGGATAAGGTTGCCGGCTTGAATGTGTGTTAGTCTTCGGCCCGAGGGTGCCGGAATTGGTTTCCATCCTGGTTTCACAATCTGCTGAATTTGTCGCTGTTTGTTGTAGTACTTAGGCCTTTGTAAGGATTGGGCTGAGGCTAGGACAAAGTAGTCGGGCTTGTGTGGGTTTCTGCTGGTTTGTTTGATTGAAATTAATTGATTATTAGGAGAAGAGGGAGCTTTTTTTTACTTAACTAGCTGGTTATGTTTCTTACTATATATAGTATCGTGGTCGAAAACAACTGATTTGTGTCTGTTGTGAATAGTTCTGATGGTGCGGATAGCAGGAAGAAAAGGTGCTGTTGGTGATAGTTAATCTGTCTCTCTAATCAGTAGGTTTTGAGATCATTTTGGGTCCTAATTATTGAGTTTTTAAGAAATTAGCTGCTGAATAATTAGTCCCTGGTCTATTCCTGTCAAAGTGCTTTAAATGCAAAAGGGCATGCCGAGACAACAAAGTGCTTTATGATTGAGGCGGCAGGCACCAAAAGGGTGATCGCTTGAGTGAAACAAGGCTCTTAAGTATTTGAAAAGATGAGAAAACCTACAAATAATGTGCAACTAAACACAATATCAATAAAACACAATTTAAAAAAAAAGATGAATCACAACCGGATGTCCAAAGTTACATATAACTAACAAGATGATAATTCTATAATAAAGTAATAACTATCAGCCATCCTGCTCTACAAAGTATCACTAATGCATAGATATCCCCTTCAAAGTATAAAGCATGGGAGGCGTAATGTAAATCCCACAAGAGCATGAGTACAACCATCTTGGTTAATAATATGAACAACATTCGCTTGTGATTTATGTCTTGTTAATTATTTGTGACTTGGTACTTGTTAGTTACTACTTTGTTTATGTGTCAACAGGTGGTTTAGGTCTTACTTTAGTATATAGCATAGATCTATGTCATGTTAGTTATTTGTGACTTTGGACATTCGGTTGTAACTTATCTATTTTTGTTATTATTTTATTTATATTGTGTTTAATTGCACATTATTTGTTGGTTTTGTGATGCTTTTTATTACTTATTGCATTGTTTCACTCATCCCCTTCTTTTGTGTCTATTGTCTCAGACGATATAGGACCTTGTCACCTAACCTCTCATTTTGCCTCTAAAGACCACTGCCTGTTCCTTGACAAATACTTCTGCCATTCGTTCCTTACCATTTGATCTTGTGGTACCAAGAATGTATAATGTTGGAGCCAACATGCCAGAGGAAGCTGTGGGCAACAACATTTTATTCCTACTTTTTTAGTCTTTTCCTTGATTTTATCATGAAAATAATTATCATGCACAATGAGCAGAATAAAAGACTCAGGCAATTTTTCTTAGTATCCTGCAAAATCATATGTAGACCACCAATTCTAAGTTCTAACAAAGAGTTTGTGATGATTGCTGCATTCAACTGACCATTGTTGGATGTGTCCTGAAAAGATTTCATGAAGGCAGGACTTGTAAAAGGAATCCAGATATTTTCAGCATGGAGGGTGTGAAAGCCCCCTTGATCCTGAATAAGTGTACTTACCTAAAATTGTTATTGAATATCACCAAACTGGTCTGAGAATACATATCTGCGATAGTAACAAATATTTGGCATCCATTTTTCCTGAGCAGAATACTTAAACAATTGTTGTCTTCTCCAGAGCTGGCAAGTTTCTCTGATGTCACTCTTGGGGTTCGCAGGACTCCTGTTGACAAGTAGATCTTCCTCTTCTTGTTCTTACTTCTTACTATCGTGGTTTCACTAATCATTCGCCATAGAGCTTCTCTCTTCTCACCATCTGTGATGCATATCACAGTTATGCTTATAAGGGCCTCATAGGCATTCTTTCGTCTTTTTATGGTTCATGCACATTAAGGAGTTACTATTGATACTGAAATATGCCTCCACCAGCCATTCAGAATAGGAACATGCATAAAAGACTTGCTTGGTGCTAGTCATCACTCATCACAAACCCATTAATGCTCATCACATGGTGAAATTATCACTAAAATAGTAACTTGGTTTATGATTTGGATCAAATTTGTTCTAATTGAGTGGTTTGATAATGTATTCTTCATCAGAGAGAGAAATTAAGAATCTAAGCTCTCTTCTGTATGTGCAAGATTCCAAAGTGAGATTAGATCGTAGAAAAAAAATATTAAAATCTGCAAAATACGTATGTGACATGTAATTTTTGATATTTTAGCTAATGTATGCATACCATTAAAAAATTGCCTCAGACCAACAACATTATATAATTATATATGTGCGTGCGCGTGCATGAAAAATGGGTATATGTTGGCAGCTCATGATGCTAAATGAGCTACCAAGAGATAAACTACCGGTGAGGCCCACCCTAATCGTCACATCCTAGCAGGTGGACTTCTCCACTCCTATCTTTTATTAGTTCTTTTTGTTTTTTGTTTTTTTGATGAGGTAATAACTCATATCCAATATCCTCATGTGTGTGTATAGTTTTTTTGTAAAATGCATACTCATAAATAGTACTATATCACATCTCTTTGAGAACGCTTTTGTTCGTATTTTATGGATGTTAGAATTAATATAAAATTATAATCCTCGATACTCACCATAACTTCAGAGTTTTTGTGTGATGGTTAGAGGAAGTTAATTTGAGATGATATCAGAGCAACCCAGGTTCGAATCTTGCTGACCATGAATTTAATGCGGATTTTAAAAAATTATTACTGTTGCATGAGTCTTGGTTTTTATCCCATAAAAAAGGTGCTCAACCTAGGGGCATGTTAGAATTAATATAAAACTATAATCTTTGATCTTCGCCGTAACTTTGGAACTGTGAAGTTTTGATGTAATGGTTAGATGAATTTAATTTAAGAGATAAGTGTACTCGACTATAATCCTTGATTTTCGCCATAACTTCGGAGTTTTGGTGTAATGGTTAGAAGGATTTAATTTGAGAGATAAATATACTTGATAATGGTTTATATTATTCTTTGGTGCTTTGTTATCTACATTTGTGTACTTGATATTGTATGTTATGGAATTTCTATTCTCTAATGTGATTGAGCCTTCTTTACTGTAATAGGCATGTTCAAACTGTATCATTGTGATAGTAGAACTGATTTTGGACCTTGATTTTGTTTGCAGATTCATAGTTGTTAAACTGGCAGACATACGCAGAGAAGTACAGTGCCCTATATGCTTAGGTATGAAATATCTGGAAAGCTTTCTTTTATGTGCTAGGTCCTAAGAACACTGGTGTGATTGTTAGTAGTATGTTTTGATCGCCTTTTGTTGTTAGGCATGCCTTAAAAGATAGCACAACCTAGATGAATCTGTAAACAGCATAACTTGAAGGATCAGTCCTGTAAAGAGGCCTTGTATTAAAAGTTTATCCCTCATATTCTGGTCGCTTTATCCTTCTTTATTTCTTTGACCCAGGTGCATTGTAAGTTTACTTTTAAGTCCAGGACATAATTTTGATCTGCAGTCATCAAATTCATTTAGAGCGCATGTTATACTTGCCACACAGCTTTAATTTTTTGTTATATTAGATAACTTTTCCATAGCAGGAACCCTTGTGTCAAATATGCATGAAACATAGGGAAAGCACAATATATAGACCTATATAAACACAGTTGGCACTGCTCCTGAACTTTTTAAATAATTTGCCTTGTTCGTGAGTAGCGATCTTACATGTGTCACATGAATCCTGAATTGTAATGGTCATAATTATATGCACATGATGTGCACGCTCTTGTCTTTTTATGTCTGTGTTATATGTATCCTAGATTTAGAAGTGTGATGTATCTGCATGCTTTTATTGCATGTCCTCAAGCTAGTGAGTATGCGTATAGAAACTGCTGAGAGTGGTTCGCTGACTTGAGCTTTCTGGCAAGAGGGACATTATGCTTAGTTTTTGTTCGCCGCGCCCCCCCCCCCCCCCCCCCCCCCCCAAAAAAAAAAAGAAAAAAAAGAAAATCATGGGTATTAATGTGCTGTATTTTTGTCTAATGGAGCTATAAGATGTAAATGAGTTGAAAAAGGGGTTTTTCGATATTAGTCCCTTAAATCTTTCATATTTTAGTCCCTCAAAAAGTGTTTTGAAATTGGTCCTCCAAATCTTCATATTTTGAAATTAGTCCCCCAAATCTGTTAAATGTTTTCAAAGTCCCCCAAAGCTTTCAACCTTCTACTAAATAGAGGGACTAATTTCAAAACACTTCAATGATTTGGGGGACTACGTCCAAAATATGAAGATTTGAGGGACTAATTTCAAAGTACTTAAGAATTTGGGAGACTAATTCAAAATATGAAGACTCGGGGGACTAGTTTGAAAATATGAAAGATTTGGGGAGACTAATATGGATGTTGAATGGATGGACCATGCGAGAGTTTGATTGTTGCGATCCCCTTCACTGGATTCTAATTTGAAATTTGATGTTGAAAATCTTGTTATGTATTGATGTTTAGATACTAATCAACCATGCAATTTTTTATTTACCTTATTAACCCCCCACCCCCCAACAAAAAAAAAAAAATCCTCACTCCGCCACTGGTTCCTTATGTTTGTCTCAAATCTTCTGGTAGTTAAATATTTCCTCTCTTATTTTATGTTCTTTTTTCAATATTTTGCAATAAGTCATTAGAATAATTTAGAGGTTTGCTGTCTGCCTCCAGAGAACTAGATCAAGATTATCTTCTGAAATGGGTTATTTGCATTCATGACATCTTCTAAAGTCCAACAGCCTATTTGCCTCTTCATGTTTTCATGGTTTACAGCGGCACAACTCGAAAGTGAACTCCACAACATTGAGCCTCCTCGTCATATGTTGTGCATCCTACGTTGTTTGTTTACACAAATGTAGTCGAAGCCTGATTTGTTGCTTGAGATGGTTCAGCCTCCTCGTCATATTTGTGACAATAATTCATGGTTTAGAGGATATGATTAGGCCTTAGGGTGACGCACAGAAACTAGTATTATTGTTAGGCGTGATCTGTACCTTTTTCCAAATATGTAAAAGGAAACTGTATTTCTCTTATCACATTTATGTTTTAGCGTGTGAAAGGTATGTAAGCTACTTCTGATGTACTTTGTATTCTTCTACTCTGCATATTCATTTGGTGTATAATTTGTTTTCATCTATATTGAAGTATGATTAGTTGATCCCTGTACTGTTTTGTATGCCAGGTATAATTCGCAAGACGAGGACAGTAATGGAGTGTCTACATCGCTTTTGTAGGGAATGCATTGACAAATCAATGCGACTTGGGTAAGTTATGAGACATGGCTTAACTTCTGTGTCATCCTAGGATTACAGTCATGTCCATGTACATTGGTTTAACAATGAACAAGTAATAGTCTAATTTTATTTGAATATTTTATTGGTCCGGGGAGTGATGTGTGTAAAACTTTATACATGCAGAAATAATGAGTGCCCTGCATGCCGTACTCATTGCGCAAGTAGGCGTTCTCTGAGGGATGATCCAAATTATGATGCTCTAATTGCTGCTTTATATCCAGATATCGATAAGTATGAGGAAGAGGTACATATACCATTGGTAGTTGAGGTTTTTTGAAAGAATTCACAGTTGGATTTCGTTGATATGGTTCATCTGTGGAGTTAATTCATACCTGAATTATCACTGCAGGAATTGGCTTTCCATGAAGAGGAGAAAAATCGTAACAAGAAGGTAGGTTAACTGTAATCTACATGTGTATGGTATCAAGATTGTCCATCTTGGGCCTTTCAAATTTCAATCACCACATTTACCTAAATTGGAATTCTATGACTTGAAATTGTCAATAAACATTTAAGTCAGTTGTATCATCCGTTTCACTTCGTCAATCACATTTTCTTAGTCATACTTTTAGTATATTTTCTTTTGCTTCATGCGTTAACTGCCGAAACACTTGTTCTGGAGTCCTACAATGTTACCTTTTGAAGCTTTTTTTTAATTGTCATTTCTTGTTATTAATAGTCTCTATTTGTTAATAGATTCAAGCTTCCATAGCTGAAACATTCCGACGACAATCTGAAGCACTAGGAAAGCGGAGGCACCCAGCTAAAACCACAGCTGCAGCTTTTGTCAGGAGATCACAATACCGGAGCTCTCATAGACGAAGACGTGGAAGAAGTAGTGCTAATGACAATACTGGATCTGAGGACGAGGAAGAGGAAGATGCCAATGGTAATGACGGCAAAGAGTCATCCTCTGCAGATGAGCCCTCTCCTGAAAGAAGGCAGAAGAGATGTAGAAGATGGCCTGCACCTCGGTCCTCGCCAGCTAGAATCGCAGGAAATACTGATACTGTCGGTGAAGAAAATGATGATATAGAAACAAACAGAGACAACCGAGGTACCTCACCTCTTCGAGTAGGAAACAGAGAAATGTTGGCATGGGGAAAAGGTGGCGTTCGAAGCCAGATCAGGCATGGTAACTCTAGTGGAGCAAATGGTAGGTTTGTCAAGGGTGGACGCATAACCAAGTTAGTGGAATACATTCGTAACTTAGAGGGCAATGAGAATGAGGTATAATATGGATTAAGGAACATCTTTGATATTCTATAATCAATGTTACCATACACTTGGCTTGTCATTGAATATTTTTCCCATTTTGTTTTTGTTTTCAGTTGGATGTACACCTTACCTTGCTTCCTATGGAAGGAAAAAATGTGCCTAATATAGAGAGGCCATATATTTGCTGCCGACCAACTTTGTCCATTAGACACCTTTGTCAAGTGAATTTTCTTTTCTTCACCATATTTCATTAATGTTTCTTAGGTTTTTAATAAATTGAAATATCACTTTGGCTCAAGATGATATAGAATTTGTGTTTGCAGTTTATTGCTCTTCAAACTTCAGTAAGTGCAGAAGAAATTGAGATTTTTGCAAGGAAGCCTCAAGATGGAACTCTGGAGCTCAAGCAGTCTATGGTGGTAGTTAAGGCTGAGTCTGATCCTTTGAAGGAGCTGCAAGTAGTGGGGGCACAAGAATCTCTTGCAGGCTTGCGCGATTCTTTTACCGATAGTAGAGGAGACATGGTGAGGATTCAAGATTATTTTGAATGTTTCCAAATTTTACCTTCATAGCCATTTTTTTACTATGCAAGTCTTGTGATGTTTTCAGGTATTGGTGTACCGCTTAAGGATGCAAAGTTAGGAAAGCGTATTGCGTGAAATTCTTATGGCAACATCCAATATGCAAAAATGTCCATGACAAATTTATATTTATAAAAAGCAGAATCCATGATGTTTGTCAAGTTGTCATTCCTGTTACATTAGTGTTGAACTCGCTTCAAATCTTTGAAAGGAGTTGAAAGCCTAGAGATGGAAAGATGTACAAAGGTTTGATTGAGAGCAAAAGAGCTTACCATGCTTACTTTGTTTTTCCCCATTCTACAGAGGAGTTTAGTTCACGTCGAAAATGTGTAAAATTCCTTTGTGATAACCCCTTAAATTTAAGAAGGAATATAAGAAGTAACTTGTGCCAATATTTTGTCAGCTCAACCATGTTGTTCTATAGTCAAGATAGTTTTGCAGCTTTCTTTGCTTAAAAAAAATTAATGTCTATTAATTGCTAAGGCCTTTTGTCCAGCAGAAGAACCACATAAATCGAGGGTTCCAGTTCCATCTGAATAAGTGTGTTTTTTTCACAGAATCATTTTAATTTCGATAGATGACTCACCATCTCTTCTAAATATTTCTTAACAATGAGCTGGTGGGTGCTTAGTGGTCATTTTAACTGTTTCTGCTACTTTCTGATTTTCTATCCCCCTGACATGCAGGGAAGACAGATTTGCTCTAGTAAGGAAGAACCATGCTTTTTTGCAAATAGAAGGTGTCTAGGATTTCTCCATATCTATTTTGCTTCTTTTACGAGGAAGTGCAATAAAAAGTGGTTAGTATCCATTGAAAATCCAAATATGTTATTTGGTTTGATACTCTTTGCTCATTATCAATTTCCGCTGAACTTCATGTGTTGGTTTTAGAACACTTTATGACAGATCTGATAGTTTAACCAAGAATTTTTTTAATGCATGATAAACATGTCACAGTTTCTGGTTCATTCTCTTCCATCATAATATCAGGTTTATGACTGAGAATGTAATGCTTTAGTAATCCAGTACACAGGGATGTTATTGTCGGTTGGCTGATCTTTATGACCAAATAGAATTAGTTTGAAATATTGAAACATTGTAGGGTTCATGAACTTTAAGCTAGTTTCTCCTAATCATATGATGTATACTTTTATTGCATGATATTGTCATCAACACGTCCTTATGATTACTCGAAACTACTCAACGAACTAATCAAATGACATAATTTAAAGTTAAAAGCACAAGGAAATTGCACACAGATGATTTCTTGTCTTCTGGTTTGGTTACCATTTCTAATTTGTTACATCACACCTCAAAAAGCATACTAGTTATTAGACAATAAAGACAAGTCAATTTGGAAAGTTGGCCGATGACAACAACAATAACAAAAAAAACCTTAATCCCGTATTTTCAGGGCCATCTCCGTTCAGATCTTGATGCATGTTTTTGTTATGCCAGTAAATGAGTAATAGCTCCAAACATAGTCAATTTGCTTATTTCTGCTAAAACGTATCATTGTTTCAAATTTTTTAGGTCATGACAACAGCAGATGATCAAAGTAAACTGTTAAACCTATGAAATAATTTGGAGTATCTTGAGAACTTGACTATGTTCTACATATATCCAAATAGTTAACCTCTTGGTTATGTCCCAATAGTTTATCATCTCATTTCAAGTGATTAAAAGGCGTGTATGAAGGAAGGGCGAACTTTAATCCTAGAACATTTAAAATAAAATGCTCTAGATATAGATAATTAGTGGACTGATGCACATTAGATGTCTGCAAGACTGTAAATCACACATCAATTTGTGTATATTCTAGAAAGTAGAAACTATGTTGCTTAGATATTCACATGGGTGTTGGTATGACACAGCTTGGTTTTTGGGAGTCACATTCAGGTGGTCCAAAATAGAAATCTAGAAGTGGTGTATGCTATGAAGCATGGATGAGACTTACAACACGGAGACAACATGGGCACGGCAACACTACTCATATACAACTATGTCATTTGACCATGCTGACATGACAAAAACTTGTACATTTCTCATTGTGTGTGTAATAAAAGAAGTCCATGAATCCATGAATACAGAATTAGACTTCACACAGTTGCAGTAGGTTCCAGTAAGCGGATAAAAATATGTTCCACATTTGCAAGAAATTTAACTATTGGTACCAATTTTAATGGCTTTTTATAGAGAAACAACCTTAAGCAATTCATCTTTCTATAGAATGCCTAAAGTATCTCATTTTCTTGTCAAAAGATATTCTAGCTTCACCAAATTTTGTAAAAGTTAGTTGAAGTCCTTTGTCTGCTAAATCGTCTTTGCTGTATAAATGAAAGCAAATATGCCACTGAAAGCTTAATGAGCATGAAGTGATCAGAAGGTCAGAAGATGCATATGAGAAGTATCCGAATTAGGAGAAAATAATATAAAGGTTAAGGGTGCATTTAGGAAGTTCCGTTAATTTTCTTTTGTGTCCAAGAAGCACGTGAATGTTGTTCAAATTCGTCAGATCGTAATAGGGAAGATTTTGGTCTGTGCATGTTTGTGTGTGTGTGTGCATGCACATGCACTCTTTTCACAGAAGTGCATTGTTTTTCTATTTTACCTATCACTGTATATCGAAATTCCTGCGTAGGAGAAATGGAGAATGATGGCTTTTTTAGTCACTAGAACTTACAACCACCTATTTGAGGTGCGCTATGGAACCACGGATCCTGCACAAATGTTCATGCTAACCAGGCTGTGAATTCTCTCATATATGTTATCGAGAGACATTTATTTTTCTTAACTATTATAAAAGCAAAAGCATTGGAATTTTGGAAAATCATGAAAAACCATACATCTTGTGAAAGTCTTCGACATCTATTAAACTGAAACTGACTCCATGGATAAAACATGAATCTATATGATGTTCGATCTGAAAGATGTTCAAGCTGGAAGAATTGGTAGTCATGTGTGCCTAATGCTCATCCCTTTAAGAAGCTAGAGTATTCCAGATAACATAAATTAAGAGATATTATTAACATAATTCTTTTGCAGTATATTTGTTGTAAATGCGAAAATTGTTAAGTATTGCATTAAAGTCTTTATTAATGATGAAACTGGGCGCCTAGGCTTATCTATCTTTTCGGGAAATGAAAATTTTAAACCTGTCAATAGGAGGAGAAATCATGGTTAAGAGCTTACAAAGAACTGTGATATTCAGGTATATTCTGGTTAGTGCCTAGTGGTAATGCGGAGAATATTGGAGTTGGCCTGTATGTTCAAGCTTCCAAATTTTATCATGACAATAAAGGAAAAGTCACTGCAGATAACAGTCATTAGTCATTTGAAGGTTTTAGGAGGAACCAATGAACATGGAAACCACAGAAGTTTCTATATAAGCGACACATGCTGGATATGGTAAGAAAACAGGCTTTTTTGTTCATACTTACGATGGTGATGGCTTAGCTTGTCTAGTTTACTTTGATGCTTATGAGTTTATGAAGTCCTTTTTTTCATTTATGGAGGACAAGAATATATTTTATTATCATACATGTGGAAGTTCAACTACCCTGTGCAAACAAATTAGCAAAAAAATTTCGGGCAAAGTTACTGCAATAGCATGTAATTGTGTTGTCAGTCAATTCATTCATGCACTGGTAATCCACCATTTTGCAGCGTGTGCGAGAGATATCCGAGAGGTATAGTTAAAGTTTTCCTTGAATTCCACTTCATTCAAGTTTTCAAATTGATAGGAGACGCTAGGGAGTTGGATATTTACCTTTTATTGTTTCTGTCTAGAGTTTGAAGCATGTGCTGTGAGTATATCGTGAGTTTAGTTATAGACTGCTATGGATGATATGGGAATGGTTTGGTCATGTGTCCCTATACAAGTGTAGAAGAAGCATATAAATTTCTCTTTGAAAGTGTTGGCTCAAATCTTGCTGTGAAACTTCTTTCTAGTGAACTATCTTGTCGAGAATTGTATTCCAGTTCTTAAACAAATTTTTTTTCCTGCTAAGATTATGGTAAGTGCTAAATGTAAGAAGATAATTTCGATAAAACACCCTCAGACTTTATAAATGTCTCTTGAAAACCCCCCACCCCAACCAAACCACCCACCAAAAAAGAAAAAACCTTTGGACCATGCCACAAAACACCCCCCAAACCTTTTGTTATTTTCTCAACGTGCTACTTAATGGAGTTTTCTGAAACACAGAGAGATTGATTGCCACTTGATTCGTTCGTGAGAAGATGGAGAAGAGAATCATTAGAGCCAAGCAACATACCATCAGATTATCAACTTGCAGATATTCTCACTAAACATCTTGGGAGAACACGAGCGAATTTTATTTGTAACAATGCTAGGCATGTACAATATGGGAGAAAACCCTTCCCAAATTTATCAGATGACAACACAATCTGATCCAAGTCTTTTGTTTGGTATTATGCGACATTGCAAAAGTTCAATGAAAGGATCGAGCTACAACACATGCATATATATTATTGCAATCATTCATGTTCTTTACACAGAAGGCACAAGGCAATACATAAAACTTTATTCGTTTCTTGTAAAAATGAATTGAATCATATCATATCCTAATATATACTGTTAACATTAAAGCACAACAAATATCACAATTTTCTACAAGTCCATCAGCAGAGGATAGATCGTGCTTCGACCACTGATCGAGGAGGATCCAGATCCTTATCCTGCAGAGAATTTCCTAGTAGGCTTTGCATTTCCGAAGCAAACAGATCGTCCAATATCTGCATGCCACCTAATTTATCAGCACATTGACATATTATCATACGGTTTTTAGTATCACATACTATGGCAGTTAACAGACTTACGCTGAGAGCATAGTTGGACCCTCTGTACCAAATTCTGTTCTCTTTTCGGCTCTCAAGGAAGCTCAAAACAATCTAGTTGAAACTCGAAAACAAAATTTTATCAGGCCAAGGGTCTGTAGTATATATATATAGAGAGAGAAATATGGGTATGCTTGGTACCAAGCACAAATTTTGTGCTTGGTAGTGATGTGTCACATCCCCATCCACTCAATACACATGTGAATTTGTTCCCATATTTGAATAAGTGGAGGGGGATTTGACACCTCACTACTAAGCATAATTTTTTGTGTTTGGTACCAAGCATACCCATATTTCTCTCACTCTCTCACTCTCTCTCTATATATATATACATATGCTTTTAAAATAGGACATCTTGTTGTGAAGGGTCATGTGCTTGAATAATTTTTTGGCATTTGTGGCTATTGTGTTGATAATAGAATTATTTCTTTTGGCATCTGTGGCTATCGTATGGATAATATCTTCTTACTGTACAGTAATTACCGGTTGAACTGATGCTCTGTTCTGTTGAGAATTCATGCCCTTATCTGTTGTTTTAGTTGGTTTTGAGATTACTTTCTTTCGAACTGAAAATCTGTCCCAACTCACGCCGTGCTCAGCATTGCACCCTAATCGAATTGTAGTCTTATGATCCCTATTTTATTTATAGTTACTCAATTTCGATCGTTCCTTTGTGTAATTGCCAAAGCACTTCGGTTCCTTTAAAGGACATTCTCTTCCTTTTATAACTCTTATCAATTTCAGTTCCTATTAATTTACAGGAGAAATAGCTGCACAAGGCAGTAGTAGTACTCGTTAAAAAAGAACGTTTTCTTTCCTTCAAGCTCTTGAGTACGTTTTCTTTTCCTCCGAGCTCTTTTTTTTTGAGAAAGGATGGATTACTGTTAATCATAACAGTAATCCAGCCAGCTTTTCCTCTGAGCTCTTGAGTTCACAATAGATTGTCTCCTGCATTTATTTCAAGCCATCTATGGGACATAGGAATCCAAGCTACAAGTTCATTGTTCTGGATGAGAACGATATGACAAGTTCTCATTATCTCATACACAACCCTTCTCATCTTTGGTTGAAGGCATACATCGCCAGATTCCAGCTAAAACACTGCCATAAATCAAGTGGCAGATGCCTGAAACAGCACAAGGGACTGCAGTCAGAGGACTCCCAAAGTGCTGGCTTGCAAGCACTAACCCTAAAGTCGCATTCTGCAGAAGAATCAAACCGAAAAAAAATGAAGAATTAATCAATATAATCATTGGAAATGAGGAACCATACCACTAAAAATCAAAAATTTACCTGCATTCCAACCTCTATTGAGATTGTGCGACAAGAAGAAACATCAATCCCTAGCATCCTCGAAAACAAGTAGCCAAAGAAAAACCCAGAAGCATGGAGAGAAAACGAAGCAACCAATACTTGGAAGCCGGAAGTTAAGAGAGCTGAGGCATTCTGAGCAATGGCACCCCCACCCAGAGTGGAAACACTCAAAACTGCTATGACCGGCATAAGAGGAGAAACTACCTCAACCAAATTGTTACAGTATTGGTTTAAGGTTGCGCCTATTAGTACAGGTGCAAGCACAGCCTGCATTTACAAAGAAACACAGTAAAAATCCTTTTCATTTTCAATAAAATGCATCATTTTGCATCACCTGCACTGTGGACTTAAAGAGACCGATAGGGTCAACCGCAACAAACTGTCCAGCAAGTTTAGAAGTCAAAAACGCCGTCATTACCTGCAATCATGAAATCTAGAGAATGTGTAATCCAAAACATTAAAGTGAATGGAAATAACTAAGGAAGTTGGAGATAAACTGTATTACTGCAGCAGCTAAGGTGCTGGTTGCTGTCATAAGCACAGAGAGAGCTACATTTCCTCTGATGAACAATGAAAATAACATCAAGATAATGCGTGTTATATAGTTAGCATTGCTGAGGGGGGATTATATACCGTGCGAGATATGTAACAAGATTACTTGATGTGCCTCCAGGACAGCAGGAAACCAGTATCAGGCCAGCAGCATAATAGGAAGGCAGCTTTAACAACTTGCTAATGAAATATCCTGATAATGGCATCACCTGCGTGCAAGCAAATAACTTCTTCAAAGTTGATCCCGGGAACTAAAATTTTACAACAAAATTCCTTCTTGATCAATTTTCTTATTAGTAACTTGATCATTCTAGATTAAAGAAACTCGAATTGTTTCTGTTCTAGACCATCAGAAATATATATTAATCATTGACTAATTATATGGGTTTTCTTCTCGAGTTCTTTAGTAGAAGACCGAGATTAACAAACAACAACCTGACAGTGCAGGATATTGTTTTATAACACATTTGAGATTAACAAACGACAACCTGACGGTGCAGGATATTGTTTTGTAACACATTTGAAATTATGAAAAGGAATACTAATCAGCAACTCATTCGACTGTAATTTGTCCAGGCATAACATGATAGTTTTGTTCCCCTCAAGTGGATGATTCCTTGCTCAAGTTTAAATCTTTTTATAGTCCCAAGTGGGTAAATTCTCCTCCTACTACGAAAACATTTCTTAACTTACAATCTAAGTAGAAATTGGTTAGATTTTGGAGTTTTTTAGATATTAGCCCCTTAAATCTTCAATAATTGCATATTAATCCCTCAAATCTTGGAAATTACATATTTGTCCTTAAAAAAATTCTATAGCTGCATATTAGTCCCTTGAATCTTTGAAATTGCATATTAGTCTCTCAAATCCTATAGGGTCTTGCAAAATGGTCCTTCAAGTTAAATCACATTAGATTTGGTTGGATTATTCCGTCAAGTCTAACGGTTAGAGGCAAAATGACCATTTTATCCCACTATAATATTCCCCAATCCATATATTGATAGGTCTAAAAGTCAACACCCACTTAAAATAAATCCAAACTCACCCGGGTTCTTCTTCTCTAATGACCAGCAAAAAAATCTAACTCAAAGTTGAGCATCGCAAATGGTTCAACATCAGAGAGAGGGGCAGTTTGATGATTGCAGATTTTGGGTTAGAATTTACCTAATATGATTAGGTTTTTAAAACTTAAATACTAATAGAGAGATCATTTTGCAAGAACCTATATGATTTGAGGGACTAATATGTAATTTTCAAAACATGAGGGACTAATGCGATTATACAGGAGTTAAGGGACTAATATGCAATTTCCAAGATTTGAGAGACTAATACACAACTATTGAAGATTTAAGGGCATAATATCTAGAAAAAAAACCCTAGATTTTAACGAAACAATTTAAATTCTTTGTTATTAAGGGGGTGTTTGTTTGCATGTAAGTGAAAGATGAAAGTGAGAAAGTTACTTTAAGGGGATGTTTGGCAATCTGAAAGTGAATTTAAAATATGTAAGTTACTTTTTTTTGCAAATGACTTTTACATCTATGTCAGCACGCAAGTGAAATACAGTGTTTGTTTGAAAAATTAAATTATTATCGAAAGTGCAATGTGAAGATGACGTGGCAAAATAAGATTAATTAGAAAGTATAATTAAAATCATTTAATTAAATTAGTTAACTTTTTATCACTTTCATGTGACTTCACCATTTTTTTAGGGGAAGTCAAAATTGCATTAAATCATATGTGGCAACTTTCTTGTATCTCACTTTCATAACCATTTACATGAAAACAAACACCTTAATTGTTAAATGAAAGTAACTTTTTCACTTTCATCTTTCACTTGCACGCAAACAAACACCCCATTAACAATTTAGGTGTTAATTTGTTTGCATGTACGTGGTTATGAAAGTAAAATGCAAGAAAGTTATCACATATGATTTGATGTAATTTTGACTTCCCCTAAAAAAGTGGTAAAGTCACATGAAAGTGACAAAAAATGTAACTAATTTAATTAAATAATTTTAATTATACTTTCTAATTAATCTTATTTTGCCACGTCATCTTCACATTGCACTTTCGATAACAATTTAATTTTTCAAACAAACACTGTATTTCACTTGCGTGCTAACATGGATGTAAAAGTCATTTGTAAAAAAATAACTTACATATTTTAAATTCACTTTCAAATTGTCAAACACCCCCAAACTCCAATTACCCTTTTTTTACTACCGCATTAATTTGCTAAGGTCGATTGCACAATATCTAAACATTAGCATACAACACGATTGTTGTATTAGTATAATCATCTTTCATGGAAAATTTTGCTTCGAATTACATAGAAATATAGGACCTTGCAATTATATAGCTAGCTAGCAATGCACATTTGTTAATTAAGGTGTGCGCGCACTAGAGGAAAACAGAGGATAATGAAAAGTAACCGTGTACTGGAGAAAAACACCAGCGGCCAACTGCTTGGGCATCAACAGTGCAGCTCTCAGGTCTTCAAGCTTCAGCGTCATTCCCATCCCTGACCCAAACCAAATGTTAATCATAAATCAATAGATTACCAAATAACCAAACCCAAAGTAATAGTAATTAAGGAGGAATTTTCAAAACAGACCGGTTTTGAAATTTATTCTCAACAAAAGACATGTTTCCAACTTAATTTCAAAAACCGACCCAGTTGACTGAAACTGGGTCGCTTTTTGAAAAAAAAAAGTTCACAAACTTCACGGGAGTTGAACTCTCGTGAAGTTTTTTCTCATAACAAAAATTCACGGGAGTTAAACTCCTGTGAAGTTTGTAAATCTTTTTTTTCAAAAACCGACCCAGTTTCAGTCAACTGGATCGGTTTTTAAAATTAAGTTGGAAACAAGTCTGTTTTTAGAAATAAAAACAGGTCTGTTTTAAAAATTTGTCCTAGTAATTAATAACAAACAAAAAAAAAAGGGAATCACCGAGCATGGTGACAGTGAGCCCGGCAATCTGCAACTCTCTTGAGACCCAAAGAAAAGTTGACGGCCTCCAGAGCGCAACTCCGCAAGCGGACCCCACGCAGAGAGGGAAGCCCAGAGACAAAGCCTCCCCCAAGCGCACCACGATCTCTCTTCCATTATTTGATTTTGCTTTTCTGGCTTCGGCTTCAGTTTCGGGCTTTCGCCACTGGCGCCGGCGAGAAGAGACGGGTGACTCGGTTTCGGGTTGTTGACGAAACCGACACAGATGCGGGTTCGGATCTTGGTAGCGGATTTTGCAATCGGTTGATAAGAGGAGAGTTTGGGACTTGAGAATTGTCGTCGTTGGGTGATGGTGGAAGCTGGGTTATGGAGCCCAATCGCGATCGAACCCATTTTTTGTGTTTTTTTTTTATTTTTCGTTGATGGGACGACGAAATCATCAGCGATCGATTGCATTGCGGACGTCATGAAGTCCAATCATTATGGAGGTCCTTTGTTTTTTTTTTAATGTGAAATGAAAGTATTAGCGGTCAATTGCGTGGTGGACACTTGTGAACGTGACGTAGCGCACGGAGGAGAGTAGGACAAAATCAGGCAGCTCAACCCTCTGGCAAGAGAGTAATCTTATGGGGATTGATAATTGCCAAATAATTGTAGAGTAATTGGAAATTTGAGAGGTGACGGTGTATCTTTGACCTGATCTTTTTTTTCTCTCTCGCTCCAAACTCTTAAGAAGTTTGATTTCACGAAATGAAGATCGATGTCATACTTTTTCGTGTTTATATTTTCGATTGTCTAAACAAGATTTTGAAAACAGAAAGTAACTACTTCAACTACTTGGATTAGAATTCTCCAAATGCAGCTTAGGGGCTGTTTTGTCTTTTTCTAAACCCTTGAAAACCACTGTAGCTAGGAAAAACATCTTCTACATAGACATGCAGCTACAATGCAAATCTAGTCAAAATGGTTCAACATGGAGGGAATTACACAAAGGCAGTCGATGGGATTTTTTTTTAATGTCACATCATCCTCCAATTTTAACTAAACAAACAAGGCAATGCTTGAAAGTTAAAACAGGCGCTTAGCAAGACTTAGTAGCTATCTCTTGCTATTTCCATTATGAAATTGGGTTTTCAAGCAGTATTTGGTCCCAACGCCCCTCCAATCTTGCGGAATGCTGCTATTTAATTTTAGCTCTTACTTTCGTTGTTATTTTAAGTAAAAAAAAAAAACCTTACCACACGCCAACTACTTTCGGGGATGAGTTTTGTTCACGTGAAAATTGATATTCTCACCAGACAAAATTCTTATATCACACTTTTCCTAAAGTTCATTGTTCCTCTTTTTTAAAGTCTGGTGTCAGTAAATCAGGGTGGTGGTAGCATGACCCATTTAAAACAACACTGAGCTGAAGATCATAAATGCAACAAAAAAACCCAAAAACAAAGCACAATCATTCTTGCTATTAGGCTTTGTTTGGATACCATAGTGTTTTCCTTATTGTGTTTTTGTAAGAAAACACCATGATGTTGTGTTTTTCTCTTAAAATGTTTTCAAAACACTATGTTAAGTATTTTTGGTTGACACTAGTTTGACCAATTATAACATTAGTATTAAACATATTATTAATATATTATATATTAATTATAATAAAATATATTATTAATAAAATTTTATAATATTTAGTTTATATTATTATAGTATTATAAGTATTAAATGTAATGCAATATAATATTGTATAATGTATTATAATATTATATTGTACTTTAATATGATATATTAAATTACAATTATTATTATTATATTATAATTATTACATATTATTTTAAAATAATTATATATTTAATTATTTGGTATATTAATTTGTTTTGTTGTATATTATATAATATTTTTATAATATATGTTATTTTATTATTAATATATATAATATTATACTATTATTAATATAATATAATATTATTAATAATCTTATTATCATGTTATTACTAGTATGTTATTAATAAATTAATATATTATAAATATTTTAATATTATATAATATAATATAGTTTTAATATATTAGAGTTTATTAATAGTACTTTAATAATATAATAGTATTTAGATATAAATAAATATTATTATATTATAAAAATATTATTTTTACATTAACATTTGTTAGCAATAAATTATTTTATTATTAAATTTATTTTACAAATAAATTATATTATTTATTACATAATATATTAATATTTTAATATATTATATTATTATTATTATGAATATATTATTTTTACATTAACATTTGTTAGCAATAAATTTTTTATTATTAAAAATTATTTTTACTTTATAATAAATTATATTATTTTTGCATAATATATTAATTATTTTTATATAGTTATATTACATTACTATACAATATGTTTATTATAATAATTAATTATATTTTTAATGTTGTTATTAAAATATGTTATTATTATATAATATTTTTATAGTTAATTAATTTATTAGCAATTTATTATTAAAAAGTTAATAATATTATAACGATTTAAATATTGTATAGTATATTATTATATCATTATTATATTATTATTTATTATCGTCATAACTTTTTTTTATTTTTATTAGTTATTTATATTTTATTATTATATATACATTATTAAATATTAAATATTGGTATTTAATTATGCTTACTATATTATTATATAAGATATTTTTTATTATTTTTTATATTATTTAACCAATATTACTAATATATTAAATTAAGCTATAATATAGTATAGTATAATATAATAAGCATGTTGATAATAACTCCTATAATAATTATATTTAATGATTATTATTTAGGAATGAATTATATTAACAACATTCTCAAACTCCAAACCGGCGAAACACCAAACTTAAACACCTAAAAGTGTGTTTCGAAATAAATGCTTTGTTTTTTTGTTGAGGATGAATTTACCTCAAAAACACCATGGTTTTCAAAACGCGTCGTTGTGTTTTATATTTTGACAAAAACACCATGGAAACAAGTAAAACACAATGTATCCAAACGGAAGCTTTGCTGAGATGTGAATTTGAAAAGGAGGGGGGGGGGGGGGGGGTTGATGGTCAATGAGTACAAAAAGAATACAATTAACATACATCTCCTCTGGAAGCTGAGGGATAAATAGCTGAAGCCTGAAGGGAACATGTTACTTGTCCATTACGCACCGGCTTCTCTCTTTCCCATAAAACCTAGAAGATTTCTGGAAGGAAAAAAAACTCCCCCTACACCAGTTACATGTTTAAATTCTCATTTCATGTCATCTGGACTCAGTTGAGACAAAGCAAATGAGTTCATTCCTTAAACAAAAAATTTGTTATGATAAAAAAAATATCCCCAAAACCTTGAGGTTCTTCCTGTGCTCAAGCACTATCCTTCTCATCCTCCTGTGCTGGAGGCATGCTTCGCCAAATTCCCGCTAACACACTGCCGTATATTGAGTGGCAGATGCTCGAAACGGCACAGGGTACTGCAGTCAAAGGATTTCCAAAATGTTTGGTAGCAAGCACTACTCCCAGCACTGAATTCTGCCCACGACAAACGGAGAAGAAAAAAGGGTAAATTTCACAAAACCATCTTGAACTATTTTTGAGAAAAAGGAAGAGGTCAAAGGCCCTCAGCCTGCTTCATACAATTAGGAGATTAAAGAAGCCCAAACAAAAACCACGCTAAACTTTCAAGATTAATAGATTATATTTAACCCCCTGAACTCTTAAGAAATACTCGAAAACAGCGTTAACAGATAAGAGTAAAAAAGTTTAAACTATTCTTTCACTTTTTACCTACTCTTCCCGTAAAGGGGAATATATAAGTCGTATTTAGTAGATGGAGGTAAAATTTCAAAATATGTCCCATGTTTGACAACTTAAAGTAACTGTCAGTCATGATACATAGGCGAGACAAGTTCAGGGAGGTTTTCCATAATTCACAAAGTTCAGGGGCTTTCCACTTTAATAAACATTGGAAACAATTCACATCAAGAAACTTCGCTTTCTGCAAGTAGAATAAAAAACCCTACCTGCATCCCAACCTCAATTGAAATGGTGCGAGAAGAAGAAACATCAATCCCCAACAATCTTGAAAACCAATATCCGAAGGTGAAGCCAGATGCATGGAGAGCAAAGACAGAGACTGCTACTTGGAATCCCGATGCTAAGATGGCTGATGCGTTTTGAGCAATAGCACTACCACATAGAATAGCTACAGTTGCAACGGCTATGAATGGCATTAAAGGGGAAACTACCTCAACAAAGTCGTTACAGTATTGGTTGAGGGCAGCACCTACCAATACAGGGGCAAGCACAACCTGTGTTCACAAAGATGTTTAAGTACAGATTTCAAGGCGAGTAGATGTCTGCTTAAATTTCAATTCTCTCTGCTTGAGGCTAGTGTTTCATTTCATTGAACGGCGGCCAGCAAAATTTGTTTCATCATGCAGCCAACAGATAAATTCCATACACAAAACTGTGCAAAAATTTTATTACAAAAAGGATTTGGTTTTTGTGTCCAATTTGTAAACAAGGGCTACAAGTTGTTAAGCTTTTATTATTTTATTTGTCATTTATTCAGAAAGCTAATAGTTTGTTCTGTATCTCAACAATTTGAATTATAATGGCTTTGTAGCAATATATCCTATCTTTGACGGACTGATATTGAAGGGTTGCTGCTGTATAAATATTTTTCATATAAGGTGCTGATTTGGATCTAAATCCCAAAGAAAGATAATTTAAGTCAGTTGATTGGTTATGATCTCAGAAAATCAGCTTGCGAGCGAAAGGTATCCTTAAAGCTACAACATGGCCCTTTACCTGCACTGTTGACATAAAAAGCCCAACCGGGTCTACAGCAACAAATTGTCCAGCAAGTTTGGATGTCAAGAATGGTGTCATTAACTGAAATCGGCAAACATAACAATGTAAATCCTTAGAAACTGGAACTGAAAAATCAAAAGAAGCAGATAAATAACAGTGACATTATCTAATTACCGCAGCGCTAAAGGTGCTTGCTGCTGTCATAAGAACAGAAAGAGCTACATTCCCTCTGATACACAATGAAATAACATCAAACTTCAGCTTATATAATTAGAAGGCTTAGAGTAATACAGAAATTTACCTTGCGAGATACGTGACAATATTACTAGCTGTGCCACCAGGACAGCAGGAAACCAGTATCAAGCCAGCAGCATAGTATGAAGGCAATCTCAACAGCTTGCTAATAAAAAATCCTGATAACGGCATCACCTGCGAAAAAATAGTGCATTCAGACTAGCACATTTAGAGGTACTACTCACCCAAAAGAGTAGGTTCAATGCAATCTAGGAAACTAAAAGCCTGAGAAAGAAACAGCAGAACATAAAATCAGAAGTTTCTACAAAATTGACCCTTTCAGCTCAACCCTGATAATCTGTCAATCTATACTATAAATACATTTTGAATCTGTCATGTTGGAAGCATAGATGCTTCTATCGTGATGCTGTCGTGCGTTTGGACACCACATTTCTTGCCATGTCACTATCTTTTCGTGCATAGTTTTTCAGAATCCAAATGTAATGTTGCATTGTTTTGTTTTGCAATTGTGTTGTTGTTCTATGCTTGTGCAATATGACAAATGGCTTGTAAGGGCAAAGGAGTAAGAAATAGTACAACATGAAATGTTCAAGGAGGTAAAGTTCCTCTGTAGTGTTCAAAGTTACCCTGAATTAGTATAAGGGTAGGAGCATCTAAGACAACATAAGTATCTTTAGCAGATTTCAAGTGCATTTCAAACGAGGTAAATCCTGAAGATTGAGTAGACATTTTTTCCCCCTCTGCGGGAAATATATTCAGATAGTTTAGTCCCACAACCACAAGGACAACAAACTGTCACTGCCAAGAAATATTGCTAATCAGCTACTTAAAGGGGCATCTTCATGTTGGAATTTCAATTTTTAATCATCAATTTCCCATTATTTAGTTGTTTGAGTGCTCTTTCATTAAATTTGTGGATTTCCAAAGTTATAATACCATGTTCATTCAAGTGTCCGTTACTCTCATCCAAGGCTATAGAAAGCACTAGGTAGCCTAGGCTCCGAATCCGGTGCCTAGACAGGAGCCCAGGTGGTTTTCCTTTTTATCAATTTTTTAGTTACAATAATTGATAATAAATGTCAATGTTGTGGAAAACGTTAGGCGCCGAACTGGCATCTAGACAGATTTCTTTCTTTGTTCAAGTGGTGGTGGAGAAGGCATTGCTGAAGGTTGGAGAGATGTTCATAGTTGGTGGAGGAGGGTGGAAAAGTTCGGAGGAGGTTGGAGGACGTGGAGGTGTAGGTACTGCCTAGCCCTAGGCAGGCTAGTTGCCCGCTTTTTAAAACATTGCTCTCATCTGACATATCCTCCAATGTTCTCAATAATCCTTAATCAATTAACGAAGTAATACCCACTTCAAGTAACTCTTCATAATTGTTATCCAGTAAATTTCAGTATTTTCTCTAAATTAAACAAAGAGATCCAGCTACCGAACCACCAAACCAATAGTAGAGAAATATTACTGTGTACTGAAGAACAAAACCAGCAGCCAACTGCTTGGGCATCAACAGCGCAGCTCTCAGATCTTCAAGCGTCAGCGTCATTCCCATCCCTAATTAAAACCAACAAATAGTTAAATCATCCCGACAATTATCAATCGAACCATCATACAATTCAAGGATCCGATACCGAGCATTGTGAGCGTAATTCCCACAATCTGAAAATTCCGGCCGACCCAGAGAAAAGACGGCGGCCTCCATAGCGCCACGAGGCAAGCGGACCCCACCCAGACGGGGAACCCTAGGGAGAGGACTTCCCCTAATCGCACGATGATCTCGCGCCCATTTAGGGTTTTGGTCTCTTTCGCTTCGCCGCCGTCGCCGTCGCTGCTATTAGTAGCTGAAGGACTGAAGCTGGAGCAAAGAGGGGAGAGAAATGGGCGAAGAGAGTGGGATTGGATCTTGGTGATTTGTTTTGAAGGGTTGATGGTGGAGATTATGGGGGTTTGAATTTGTGGGGTTTTGCAGTGGCGGAGGAGGGAGGAGGGCGCCGGCGCCGGCGCCGGCTGTCGGAGCTTGATTGTGTTCATGGTTTCTTTTTATTATTGAAACGATTGATTTACAACCACGAGGACATTTCTTTGTACTTATTTGCATAGCAAGTGCAAACGGGGGAGGGGGGAAATGAAGAAAAATGGAGGGAACAAAAAGAGGAGGAAACGTAATTCGTGCATAATTTCACAAGGTTAGTTATGAACTTTCAGACGTTCACGCGAAATTATCCCGTGGAAATATTCCGAAAAATACTCTCATATTTGATTTTTTTTTTCTCCCAAATTACCGTGCCTTTGGCTCACATGAGGGGTGGTTGCGGCCTTGTCATGTGAGCTACTAGATCGCTCCCATTGTCACGTGGTTAGCATCTAATATTTTTTATAATTGCATTGATTTTATTTATGGACAAATTTTCAAAACCAACTTTTTTAGGATTTTAATTGCAAAAACCGACCCTTTTTGATAATAATTGCAAAAATCGACCTGTTTTCAGCCCAGCGCTGAAAACAGGTCAGTTTTTGTAAAAAATTCTCCGAAACATCACGGGAGTTGAACTCCCGTGAAGTTTAATTTCCACTTAAAACTCCACGGGAGTTGAACTCCCGTGGAGTTACAGTCAACCATTCCAGAGAATCGAGTCTCTGGCAAATTGTGACTGCAACTTTACGGGATTTCAACTGCCGTGAAGTTGCAGGTCACAATTTTGCCAGAGGACTCCGATCTCTTGGAAAATTGGCATGTGCAACTCAACGGGAGTTGAAAATCCCGTGAAGTTGCAGTGTCAACCGCAGGCATGCACAGCTGCTGTGGCAGTTTTGTATATTTACGGCTGTAACTCGAATATATAATGCGCAATTTATTACAAAGCAAGCAGTATATACATCGATTCAACCATGAAATTATAACTCATATATATGCCAAATTTATTTGGCAAACAACAATAATACATGATTCAACATGAATTATAACACAACGAATTAATGTATAGACTGAACAATAATTTACCTCAACCAAGTTTAAGTAATTTGAAAATTTCAGGAAAGTTAGCAAAAATTATCAATAAAATAAGTTCCAAATACAACCGCAATATAGCTCCACCTCGCTTTCCTCTCCTCTCTTCCCCTCCCCCTAGCTCTTTCCCGCCCCGCTGCGGTTCCTGCTGATGAGCCGCAACTATCTGAGTATCGGCTGTTGTATCGAAGCATGGCGAATGCCGGCTCCAATCGGCATGCGAAGTGCCGGCGTCATCGGGTATGCGAAGTGCCGGCGTCATCGCATGCGAAGTGCCGCTCATCGGACTCGAAGTGCCGACGTCATCATCACAGCGGCCGTCGACTGTCGAGCGCGTACGCGACCGTCCAAATGAGCGAGACCATGTGTAGACGGTAAAAAAATACTCTGATAAGCTAAAACAGGAAATCCGCCCACAAAGAAGTCGCCTGCCTAAGCGCATGGTCGTCAAACGCCGTGCTCAGCTTCCAGATTCGCTGAATAATCGACTGGAACGTCGCCTGCACGAGTTGAATCAGTTAAAAATAGCGGAAATTCGTTTTCACGCAACTCGCCTAGCCCGAGTCCCAGTTGAATCCGCCTGCAAATCTCAAGGCCGCTGCCGCACGATTCTACAGATCAATCTGGACGTTTACAATCGACTAAAGGCAAGTATTTGAGGATGTCACTTCAAGAGGCGGCCTCCGCTACCTCACGTGGCTAAGATAAGCTTCCCATCTCTCTGCTGCTTCTCCATCAACTCTCTCTCTCTCATGCTTCCTCACTCCTCTCTACTCAGATCTCTCTCTCTGCTGCTCCTCGCGCTCTCTGACCCAAAGGAGAGGCACAGTGCCCAGGCCCGTCAAGCGGGCCGCTCACAAGTACGTACAGTGCGAAGGACTGGAACAAGGTGTTGAGTCGAACTGAAGCAATTCATAAATGCGACTCACTTGCAGGGCTGTCGAGTCAGGAGACCGGATGCCGCCAGCATTCGGCGAACTGTCCAAACCCACTCGAGTGCCAGGAACACGCCTTCCCGCCTCTCTTGGCCTGAAGAGAGAAGACACGGTACTCCAGGCCCGCCGAATAGCCGCCTATAGTACAAGTGAGCAGACAGGTGTTAAAATAGCCTGCGCCCTCATAAATGCGGCTCACCTCAGTTGTCCAAGCGAGGGGACGAGAACCGTCGGCGCTCGGTGGTTGGTCAGATCCACGCAAGCATCTGACAGCCTTTGTCACGCATACGAGGAGGGGCTTTCCCACTCTCACGAAACGTGATACAGAGCACAGCTCTTCGAATGACCGCTGACGGTACGAAGGAACAGCGGGATGTCTCTGAACAATGTATGGTCACATCCCATAATTCAAGGAGTAGTCAAGCTGTCCTTCTTCCATTTAAAAGCCCCTTCCAGCGCACTGGAAGAGAGGTCGCAAAACTTGGAGAAAAGTAATTGAGACCAAGCTGTTAGCAGATCCTCGCATTACAGCACCAATGCCTAGTTCTGAGCTCCGATCGCCGGCGAACTAAGCAGACCCGAACTCCATCGATTCGAGCTTCTACTGTGTACTGAAGCTCTCCAGCATTGTAATAAGCTTTCTTATTAATACAAACGAACACTCCCTGTTTTCAGGAAATCAAATTTACACCATACAACCTGTCCTCACGGCCTGCGAACTCGTCGACCTGAGTCTTATGGAACACCTGCGCTATGCTCTTCTTGATCCTGCTGAGGAGACCTAACGCCACCTGATCCTGAATCTCAGTCACGTGCGCATCAATATCAGCATCAATGCTATCTAAAACACGGACCTGCGTGGTAAACAATTTATTAAGTATCAACTCAATAAAAAATATTATAATTTAGCTTAGAAACTTACGTAATCTCTCTCGTTCATCCCACTAGGGATGTAACTATCTGTCGGTGGGCGTGGCATGTGTCCAGCTAAAGGCTGTGGGTCACGCGTGATCCATCTACGTGTGATACCCCAATACCAACGCATATACGTGGTATAGTCAACAGCTGTGGGCCTCGTATCCTGTATGCAATCCCACCTCTGAACCCACCTGCCTATGTAGTCCGCACGGACTACGGCCCAGTCAGTCCGGTGCGATGTAGGGCGCCGCCGACGATTGATCTGCTCGACAGGATCTGGAATATGCTGAGAGAGTGTAAACTGCCGTAGCACACGGTCCGGTACATGCATCTCTACGATCTCCCAACAGATCAATGGAACTCTGGCTCTCCACAAGTCGGGACTATCTCGGCAGATAGGTGCAAGAGAATGTATATCGAGCTCCGGCGGTGTATAGGGTCTCCACTTGAACTGAAATAAAATAAAACATTTATCAGTATCATACAGAAAAACTATAATATTCATACTTCTTGAGTTTTATATTTACCTGTTCATGCTGGAGGCCATCAAGCTCATTTCGGTAAAACTGACGGTGACGCGTCGCTGATTTGTACTGAGCGTATCGCACGTTATACCTATATGCAGAATAGCGAATATATAAGTACAAATATTCAGGTTACGAATGAAATATGTGTGTGTACAATTATACCTGTATGCCAACGGATACTGCCCCTCTAAGTCACGGTGCATAAGTAAAGTGGGTCGTCCAATATGAATGCGCTCCCATGACCAAATCTGTATCAACGTACAGCATCCCTTGAATTCTTTATTCTGCATCAGAGATACTCTACTCAATTCTCGATACAAATATGCCAACACCGCACTGCCCCACGATAGTGCCCCGCATACACCAAAATCCTCCAGCAGTGGCAGCCATCGTGCATGTACGAGAGTCTTGCTCGCATCAGGAAATAGTACGCACCCTATCATGTGCAATATGTATGCACGAGCATGAAACTGGAGCGTCTCATCAGAGGCATCCTCTGGTATGTCGCCCTGAAATGTCTGACGAAGCCACGATAGCTTCATCGCACCACTCCTCAAGTCGGGAACCTGTCCAAGTAGCCGGGCACATACCTCCGGCCAACTATGATCGTCGGTGCCCGTAACTACCGGTCCATCAATCCGGAGCCCAAGTATGACGGCCACGTCCTGTAAAGTGATCGTGCACTCCCCTATATGCATGGGAAAGGTGTTGGTCTCTGGCCTCCACCTCTCAATCAAAGCAGTGATAAGCGGCCAATCAAGCCTGATATAACGAATCGTCGAACACGGTCGAAAACCGGCCTGAGCGATCAAAGCTAGTACCCTCTCATCCTCTATGACCCATGCCGAATGACTATAGGAATGCTCGATCATCGTGTACTCTGGTACGGGCTGCACATAAAACGAGAATCAGTTTTAAGTATATTCATTAAAAAATTACATTAATCGAAGAAATATATATCTAATTTATTCGTATTACCTCTCCCGAACCAATATGGTCTGAACAATGACTCGCCTGAAGGTACAAAACGTCGGGATTCTCCGGTCCCGGATCCATAATGAATAGACCTGTGATTAAAAATACAGAACATATTACAAATAACGAGTATCATACGCTTCAAAGATAACAAATACGAATGACATACATGATCTGACATAGTGCAAAACGCTACATAATACAAATGCATGGGTAAAATGAACGGAGTTGCATACAGAACATATTACAAATAATGAGTATCATACGCTTCAAAGATAACAACTATGAATGACATAGTGCAAAACACTACATAATACAAATCAACGCCTAACACTAACTGGACACCTATTTTTGTTGTGACCCGGTTGATCACATCTACTGCACTTATTTCTCCTCCTAGCTCATTCACGTCCGTCATTCATACTATTTCTAATACGCACGGAACGAGGGCGCCCCGCCGATCTTTTATACAATGGTGGTAATATCTGTGGCCCATCTTGTGTCCAATGTCGACTATCGTATGGTGGACGAAAACACTCTTTGTAGGTTTGTTGATAGTTGTATGCAGAATACCAAGCGTCGACAAATTCATAATGTGAAATGCGAGCACCACCCTGTAGGTCAGAGCAAGCTGCTACAACATATGAACAAGGAATCAATTGTAGTTGCGGTACATTGCAAGTGCACGTACAAGTGTGATCCACCAACATATTGACTTTGTAAGAGCGATTTTCTCTATGGGTTATTCCCTCGAGCACCTCCCATTCATTAAAACTGTATCATACAACCTGAAAGGACCAAGCTTGTACAATCCGAGCCGCTAGCATTTCATCAACCTTCGGTGTTAGCTGGGAGCGCATATTTTCACCAAGTTCTCGACGTCGAACAAAGAATTTATT